TGGTAGCTTGGTGTGGACCGCAGCGTCGGAACTTGGCTCTGGCTTCTGTGCTAATTAGTATAGCAGTGTAGCATGTTGTAGCACATGGTAGAGAGTGAGACAACTGTAGGCAGTCCTGGCCTTATGTATGCTGCCGCACACAGTGCACTGCAGAGTCGGTCAGGTCTATGGTGCTACAAAGAGGTGCACAGCGTGGGCAGCGAGCTCGAGGTTGGGATCAGCCATCTCCGGCGATTGGTAAGGCAGGGAGGACTGCTCGTGATACTTAGTATAGGCCGCCATTTTGATGATCAGGCATATGGTGCGCATCGCCAGGTAGGCTTGTTGTTGAGCCCTTGCAAGGCGGTGATTCTCTCCGGTGGGGACCGGGATAACCCCCCCGGTCCGTGGGGGGGGAAGCGGGGCACGCGAGGTGCATCTCAGGGCCGTTGCGTGGCAGCCAGGTGCACAAACAGGATGGCGGCCGTCCATCCCGCTCTTCACCCCCGTAGGCCGCAGTCCCCAAAGCCTCTTATTGCCCACCGGGGGCTCCGAAACTCCCGATCTCAGGGACCGCGATGGCTCCGGCATCTGCCCGGATACATTAGACATCTCCTGGTCACCCAGATTACTGTGGTGTTTGGGTTTTGTGCCACAAGGGACCATATTTTGTCAGGAGCCTCTCCAGCCCGCGACCGGTCAGCATGGCGGTCGGGCCCCGCCCCCGTCCAGTCTTTTTTAGTAGCCACTTAGTCACAAACACTGGCCAAAATTGGCGTTTTTTGCATTTTTCACACACAAACAAATACTAACGCTAACTTTGGCCAGTGTTTGTGACCAAATGGCTACTAAAAAAGACTGGACATACCCCATTTGCAATACCTTGGGTTGTCTACTATTGCAAATGGTATACCATTATGGGTGTAAATTTCATTCCTGGGCTACTATAAAGTCCCAAAGGCAACGTAACCAATCTTGCGAATTTCAATTTCAAATGTAACATGCTATATTTGACCCTGTAACTTCCCAAAATGCCATAAAACCTGTACATAGGGGGTACTGTTTTACACGTGAGACTTTGCTGAATACAAATATGTGTTTTTTATTGCAGTAAAAGGAAACAGTATTATGACATTGACCGTTAAAATGTCACGTAGGACTAAAAATTTTTTAAAAAAATCTTATTTTCTCCCATTTTTTTCATATTAAATTATGTTTCATAGCTAAATATTTGATATTAAATGAAAGCCCTGTTTCCCCTGAATAAAATGATATATAATAAGGGTGGGTGTATTTAATATGAAAGAAGTGAATTACGGTTGGACAGACATGTAGCGCAAATGCCAGGTTTTGTTTACATTTTGTTTCGTTCACAACGTGTACATTTGGCTCCGTCCTTAAGGGGTTAAGTGTTCCCTTTATTTTTTTGAGCAGTGTTTATTACATTAGACATATATAGTTACTATTGGTCAGAGACTACCTGTCTGAATGTGAGGATAAAATTATGTCAGACAGCGGGCCATCGCATTTTTCTGGTTAACCTCCCACACTGAGGGAATTGAAGGACCGGAATAACATTGAGCAATTTTGCCAGGAAACAAAGGTGAATATTAAACTATTTATACACAAACAACCGGCAGTGTGATTAGCTTTACATCAGCAAGGTTAATGTTCACACTGTCAGTGCGATACACAAAACATGTCACACCTCGGCAGTTAATGAGTAAAATCTAGGGTAAATCAGGGTAATTATTGTGATTTGTATGCAGATTTTGACTGCTTACAGCTGCTGGAGGTCTTTTATGCTTCAATTATTGTGTTAGGGCAGGGGAAAGCAACATATTAGCAGTACTGTTCCAAAATAAGATCTTGAAATCTCTTGGCGAGCCGGTCCTATTTTTTGAGGTGTTAGGGTGAGGTGTTAGGGTATGTGTAATGTTTGTGTACTGGAAGGTTTAGTCCTGTTTGTGCAGAGATAAGTGGAAAGATAAAGGGGGTATTTGGCAATACGGTCCTGGCTTCTCTAGCCCTGAGGGTGGACCAGTTCAGGCCTACTATTGCCCGTGGGATTCTTTGCATTAGCCTGTACTTTTCCCACTAGTGAACGCAGCGTCTCTTCTAGCTAGTGATACAGTTCTGTCGTCTCTGTTACCGAAGGCGTAACAGTTCAGACCCTGTATCTCCTGTGGAAATTTCTGTTCGCTTGTCTGGTGAACTTCTACCCTGAGCGCTAGAACACGGGTACTTGAGTCGCAAATCCCCCCAGCAAAGCAGGACACACTGCAGAGTTCCTCTGGGTATTACAGGATATTCTATCCAACTAAAAACTGCTAGCGATTCCCCTATGAGCAATCACACTATATCAGAACGTAGATAGTTACAATACAGAAAGGCAGCTTCTTCTTCGTGTAAAAATGAACTCCAGTGAACTGGTTTATTGTATGAGCACACATCTTTTCTACATTTACAGGCATTGCACACTTGTTTGCATAATGCAGGTAGGAGTATGCAGATACAGTAATTACAGTGGGGAAATGCTCAGAGCCAGCTCTTGCAATACCATGGGTTTCCTTGACCATCTTACTGTAAGTCTACAATAGGCAGGATGTGACACTGTTGGCTCAGTCCCACCTCCCACTGTATATGGCTATACATCTTGCAATGGCTTGCTAGGTACATTTCCTAATCCCACCAGACATCCTGGCAGCTGAGGCCATCTAAGACCAAGAGCAACTGAACACATTACATGTGCACTAATATTATTATTATTATTATAATTATTGGTATTTATATAGTGCCAGCTTAGTACACAGTGCCTTATAATAACCAGCATAGATGTTCCATAGCCCTCTTGTAATCCTACATGTTACAAATAAGGTAGAACACGAATCTACAATGTTACACTTTCCTGAGATCATGATAAGTCTTTATTTAGTCAAATTATTTGGATCTCTGGGAACTTTGACATTGTACAACACTTAATAAGCAGGGATTTAATTACGAAACAGTGAGGAGTTTGAGTCGACAAAAGCTAAGCTAAAATTGCTGGGTTTTAGATTCTATATGTTTGGCCCGACATTTGCAGCTTTTTATTGAATAGATTCCTTGTACTGGTATAGCATCCAGTGACATTTGTACTAATGTATTTATTAGGCTTGTCTTTATTTATTCTTTTGTTATCCTCAGGGTACTGATTGTATTCAAACAATGCTCTTTGTTTACAGTACGAACCTGACCCACGGCCTGCGCTAGGTTTTAGGAATTTCTATTAGTCATTAGGTTTACTTGTGTCAATGTCCAATATCACTATAGCATGTTTGTTTAAAATCCTTGGCTTTCTTGCCAATCTCAGCATGCTCCATCTCAAGGTTTATGTGTGATAGCTACAATCTCCATCAGTTTTTCTGGAGATAAAATACATTTATTATTTTAGTTAAGTATTCTTGTTACATTTTGAGGTCTAGAGCTACAAAAATGTGTCATCAAAAAGTTTATTAAAAAGCAGTAAGCAAATCATTTATTTGTTGACGTGAGTGTCTTATGGTAATACAACTAATTAAATAGGTAATAGTTAGGAAGATATCAGTCCATATATTTATGTCCAGTAGTTGCTATGATGGATAAAGTAATATGCTATCTTATTTCCCAATATATCTTATTTTCTTATTATAACTCAGGGCTAGTTTCCATGCTTCTCACAATCATTCACTAACAAGCCAGTAATTGCTAAAATGGCAATGCCTATCATCAACATTCACCAGCAACTTCTGTGCATTTAGTTACTAGTAATGCTAAACAAATAGAATTTTTAAACTAATTTTGGGGTGGTGAAATTAAATATGACTGTGAAAATAGTGGACTTGTTTTATTCTTCCGAAATTAAATTCTTATTAGCCGATACAAGAATAAATCAATTCTGGATCTCTGAATTGATCTTATCTGTACAGGTAAAACCATAGGTAAAATGACTCGGAATCTATTTGTTCAACGATCATGGGGAATGTTATTCAGACCAACCAGCTCAAACCAATTTTTGCATAATTCTAGATGTGACAGAGCTCTTGTACACCGAATGAGTAGATCTTCCCAGTCCACTTACTAGCCAAGATCAGAGACCCTGGAACGTTTCTGCTCCAGTCACTAAGGCTTGACTGGGTCGCTGAGAACTACTTCCACCATGAACCAGGCTGCAGCTCTCTCCTTCCATGAAGATATTGTCTTCTCTGCCTTTTCCTCTTCAGCTCCTCTCCAAGGCAGTTATCCACACCTTGCCTAGACTGTGTTCAGCTACTGCCTTTACAAAGGCACTTGTGGCTCCCAGGCCTAAATCCTTTTTTTAAAGCGTCCCAGGATCAGGGACCAAAGAGCCAGCTAACAGGTCCAAAGACTCCCTGAATAAATCAACCAGGACACAAAGTTCCAAAACAAACTAAGACACAATGCTTTATTTTTGAACAAGGACTAGCCTTTGGTGACTTGTCCTTAAGCATGTGGTGAAAAGCATTCAAAATACAAATATACAGAACATAGAGAACAAGCAATTTTAATGAATACATTAATTATTTAATACAAGTAACATTTTCAAACGCACTAAAAAGCAACAATATATACATTTCACTACTTATTTGGTTGCCCTCATTTGCATACCAGCATTATGTAAATGCACACAGTTCTATTCATTCACCAGAGTGCGCTGCAGAGTTCTCAACTAACAATCCTTAGTTTGTAGTATGGTATATCAATTGCTACCATTACAAGCCAGTTTTTTTTGTGTTTCTTCACACTAGAAATTCTGCAGAATGTGCAGGTTTTTTTAAACGACGGCTTTACGAACTTCAAATATGTGTGACTATTTTATTAAATTGCAACCTAAAGGAACACGATAGGGTCAGGAACACAATAGGGTCAGGAACACAAATATGTAAAAAATAAATAAATATCTAGCCCCCCTTGCCCATCTCTTTCCTCCCTAAATATAGTAACATCTTACATTTATTCCAGTCTGATGGTGCTGGCTCTGCCCCTGATCTGCTTCTGCCACTGGAGGTGTCCTAGGCTGTAATGAAAAGACAGTGTTTACTGCACAAATCCTGCAGGCATGGACTATATTCACCAGAACAACTACATTAAGCTGTACTTGTTCTGGTGACTATAATGTCCCTTTAAATCTCAGTAGTTATTGACAGGAAGTTAAAAAATTACAAACATCATAGTTATAGACCACTGAATATAAAGTAACAATTTAAATTATATTGAGACACAAAAAAAGAAAATATGTTTTGAGATCTTTTACACTTCTTAGAAGTTTTACGTGTTGAGATATTGTCCTTTAGCAAGAATCAGCTGTGGTCACCCTTCACTGCTGGGTCCCACTTGCCTTGATATCTCTCCTCTGTGGTCAGGGCTGCAATTAGGGGGGGGTACAGCCAATACAGCTGTAGCCACTAGTTTCCACGGCAACACTCCACACAGGCCAGGCTGGCAAGAGAGGATCTGCTGCCTGCCGGCATCCAGGCGTCTGTGACCCTAGGGTCGGCCCTGTTCCTAAAGAACCCCTCTGTGATATAGCTGACCCAATCTCACCACTTTAAACTCTTTCTTTATATTTTAGATCAGGTGGATGGCTAGGTGCATCTGTGTCATTTACCTGTGGAAGAGATTGCAGCAGAATACACTATAAAAGACAGCAGGCTAGCAGAGGCAGTGTTATGCTCTAAGTAATGTTCTGCTGGGAAACCTTGTGTCCTGGCATTCATGTGTTCATGTGGATGTTACTTTGACAAGTTCCTTCAGGGAAAGATTTACCCTCCTATATATATATATATACATACATACATACACACACACACACACACACACACACACACACAAAAAGTTGGGGTATTCGAATGGATGTGTTAATGCGACTTGTTTATGGTATGATTGAATGGTGAATGTGACTAGGTTTTTGGTGACTAGGGCTTTACTATGTGTTTACAGGGATAGGGTCTGTAGGGGCTATAATAGGTGTGTAGGGGCTGTACTGGGGGATAAAAGCTATAGTGAGAAAGTAGTGGCTAGTGGAGAGATAGAGGCTATAGTCTCTTTGGGAAGGGTCCTCAACAACCTATTGTTCCTGTAACATTTTGTAATTGTCTAATTTATTGTTCAATTACCCCCTTTATAAGGAATAAGTAAACAATATATAAATGACAATAATATTAGTGGTGGTGTAGGGGCTATAGTGGGGGGATAGTGGCCATAGTGTGGAGATAATGGCTATAGTGATTGAATAGAGGCTGTACTGGGATGGAATGTTGGTGGCTGTAATGGGAGTCTAGGGGCTCTATTGTGGGGGTAATAGTAGCCATATGGGGCACGTATAACGGCTATAGTGGGGATATAGGGGCTAATATGGGGAGGTTAGTGATCATAGTGGGGGTATAGGGGCTTTACTGGAGGATAAAGGCTTTAATATGGGGTTAGTCCCTTGTAACCATGGCTGGTTCCCCTATTTACCACTATAACGTCCTAAAGCATAGAATTTAACAGGGCTAACCGTACAGATATAGTTTGTTAGAAAGAGTTCCTCTATTTAAAATATATAAATAATTGAGAATACAATAAAAATAGGGATTGTCTTGGAAGCAATAAAGTTTTGTCTTTTTAAATATTTTATGAAATAAAAATATAAATAAAATAACCACCTAACTCCCGCAGACTTCTTTAGATATATACAGATCCGAGACTTCGCTAGGAAACCACATATAAAGGCTGCAGCTCAAGGAAATATGACGTTCTACGAGAAACTATGCCTTCACGAAAGGACCCCCTAGGGCATGATAACCCTAATGTACGCTCACCTTAGCACAGAAACCAAAGAATGGGGGCGACTATCTTACACCGACCAATGGGAGATAGAACTAGGAGAAGAACTAGAAGGCATCGAATGGCAAGAAATTTGGGAAGCAAATAAAAACGCCTCCATATGTGTCACGCTACAGGAACAGACGTGGAAGACCATGTTTAGATGGTACACAACTCCCGTAAAACTTTATAAAATGCACAAAATGGATACCGATGATTGCTGGAGGGGATGTGGAACCCGAGGTACATACCTTCACATGTGGTGGGAATGCCCAAAACTTCTTGGATTTTGGAAAGAGACAGAAAACCTACTGAAACAAACATTTAACAAACCCCTGACCAGAGATCCATGGGTATACCTCTTAAACAGGTCGGTAGACAGATGGACCAAGAGAGAACAGAAACTAGTCTATAAAATAACCCTAAGCGCAAGAAAAACAATTGCGACGGGATGGCTTTCACCAGACGCACCTGAGTTTCTGGGAGTGGTATCCAGGATCCGCGAATGTAGGATTATGGACGACTTAACAGCAAGAGTGAAGGGATCGACAGAAACATTTCTAAAACTCTGGGAACCATGGGATAATAGCGTAGTGGGCTCTAGAGAGGACAGATAGGATTGAACGAAAGATGTAAAGGGGTCCTTACAGTAAAGCTAAACCAGTAGCGGAGTCCTCCTCCGATCGGAGGATCCATTCGACACACTTGGCATAGAGAGATCTGGCTGAGCCTGCTGTCGTCGTCCCCCCCCCCCCATTCGGATGTCATCCCTTGACGTCCTTTCCTCGCCGCCTCTGGGTCACCACATTCACCACATAATGCTCCTTTACCTCATACTACTTTCTCAGTCTCCCTTTTTCTAATTCCTTAATTTTTCTCTTCCCGCACCTGTACGGGAAAAATCAATTTCTTATTCGATAATTACTCTGCATACCAACCTCCTCAGCCAAGGTCAACGTAACGAACGTAATGGGAGCCCTAGAAATCCCAGATAGACCTCAGACTATTAATCCTATAAATATATCTAAGGACCTGAAAATATCAAACTACAGATCGGATACTGACAATACAGATATACCAATAACGGCACAAGACTTACACGACATATAAAACATTATATAGCTCATCGTTAGGCCTCAATTTGCCTCTGTGTCAGTGACACTCCCTTTCCACACCTAAGTATTCCGGTCAAACCGATAAAATGTAATGAGGAATTATACTATAAAAAATCCTTCAAATCCTCATGGCTCCGTTAAATATGAACACATACTGTAAAGATTGAATTGCATGTAACTGTTAAGATGTTACCCATAATTTGGCTTCTGCGTAAGCCCAACCGTTGATACTTGGTTATTATAGATGTTTGAGCAAAAAACATAAAAATAAAGAATTTAAAAATAAATAAATATATAAATAAAGACATATTGAAACTTAATAATCCATTACAATAATTGATAGCAGAGTTTATAAGATTAAGGTATATGCTTGCAGTATCAATAAAATACTCATTTAAATAAAACCTTTCAACAATTTCAATGAAAAAGTTATCAAATATCACGTTTATTTACAATTTTATTTTGCCCTGATTTATTATAAATATATATTTTATAAATGTATATTTTTGCAGAGCATTTAGTGAGGCAACGGATGTATAACAACCTGTTGCCCTTGTGCTAGATTTCTTGATGTTAACAGATTTTCTGGGGGTGGGGGGGGGGGGTATAGTTTTCAACTGTTTATTTAAAAATATAAGCTAGTGAGCATATATTATATAAAAGATATGTTGCAGTGTACTGCACTGCAATGAATGTTTTTGTTTTTTTTAAAGTCATGTTTCATAAAACTTTTCCTATATAGTGGATATTACAATCCAGAATGCATTAATGCAATAATTAAAATCTAGTCTGTCTGTTGCATGCGAGGTGATAAACCCTTCTGTGGCATGAGTTTTTCCATTAAGCCATAATATAATTTATTTGCATTCTTGGAATTAGATTTAGAAATCTACTAGCAAATGTTGCTTTCATTGCTTGTGTTATCACTATTCTCATGACAATATCTTGCATTAATCTCTCTTTCTGCGCACACAGTCTGCGCAGCTACCGGTAGTTAAAGGACCACTATAGTGCCAGGAAAACATACTCGTTTTCCTGGCACTATAGTGCCCTCAGGGTGCCCCCCCCCCGCCGGGCTCTGGGGGGAGGAAGGGGATAAACTTACCTTTTTCTCCAGTGCTGGGTGGGGAGCTCTCCTCCTCCCTCTTCTTCCGTCACCTGCTGAATGCGCATGCGCGGCAAGAGCCACGCACGCATTCAGCCAGTCCCTAGGAAAGCATTCTCAATGCTTTCCTATGGACGCTGGCGTCTTCTCACTGTGAAAATCACAGTGAGAAGCGCGGAAGCGCCTCTAGCGGCTGTCAATGAGACAGCCACTAGAGGCTGGTTTAACCCTAATATAAATATAAACAACTGCTATGTTTATAACAAAAAGGGTTAAACCTAGCTGGACCTGGCACCCAGACCACTTCATTAAGCTGAAGTGGTCTGGGTGCCTATAGTGGTCCTTTCATGGCTATGTACAGGAACATATAGTCAGGGCTGCCATCAGAAATTTTTTGGGCCCCTAACACAGCTCAAGGTCTGGGCCCCCGGGGGCCCTCCTCCAAGCCATCCTCAGGGCCCTCCTCCAAATCTCAGGTATTTAGTTTTATTGTTCCCCCCTCACAATTTGTAGGGTGAGGGGGGTAGGTAGGGCTTTATTTTCTTTTTTTTGTGTGGGGAGATGACTATGGGCTTGGGGTGTGGACCGTGGGGGGGACAATAAGTCCTCCCCCTTCCCCCCATTGTCATTTAGGGCCCCTACCCTCTGCTCATGAGTGGGGGCCATTGTCTTCTAGGGCCCCCACCTTTCACCAATGGGTGGGGGTGGGAACAACAGGTCCCCTCTATTGTCATTTAGGGCCCCCACCCACCGCTCATGGGTGGGGCCCGGGGGGGCAAAAAAAACACTATGTCCTCCCTGCTAGTTAATAGATGCCCCACCATGGGGCCATTTTTATTGGAAGGGGGAGGGCTTTTTTTTTTTACAACAGTGAGCAGCCACAGGCTGCTCACGGTTTAGTAGACAAGCGGCTTAGCGAGTAGGGGCATTCGGGAGATTTCAATCTCCCTTATGCTAATGTCAGGGTCATATTCATCCCCATAGAGTGATGGAGGACATGGGGGGCTTAGGAAGTGGCGGGGAGCACAACCGCTTCTATTTTTGCATATTACAAGGAGGGAACTGTGAACCGGTAGCTCCCTCCTTGAAATCAATAGAATGAACAACGATATTCAGTGTTTGTTCGTCTGAATTTTTATTAATTGATTCGTCTTTCTGATGAATGAATTAACAAAATTCCCATCCAAATTTCGGGCAATAACAAATGCCCAAGTGTTTAACTGGGCATGCGAGGTAATTTTACAGCACTATCTAGTGTGGGTAGATGACCTGTCCTACATGGCCTTCATCTGCCCACACAAAGATGGTGGCACCCAGGACCTAGGTCCGGGCACGAAATGAAGATTTAAAAATAGGTAATATAGGGGGCTTAGGGGCATATGCGGGGGACAAGGGAGGCAATAAGATATAGTGGAGTCGGGAGGGGGGTTTAAAAAAACTAAACGATGTGGCCATGACAGTGCTTTAAGATCCACAATTTCAGCATTATATGCTGAATACAATGTACCTAGCACCTGGACTCCAAGTGCCTTGTACAAGTTCACATAAATTCATCACTCAGTGATAAAGATCTCTCTGTGTGTGGGCTACAAATAGCTCATGATATAGCTCTTGATATTCTAAGAATTTAAACTGCTGCTGGTTCCCCTATTTACCACTATAACATCTAATAAAGCATAGAATTTAGCATGGTTAACCATACAGATATCTTAGCTATAATATTATATAGTTAGTATGACGGTAGTAATCTGTATCACCGTCAAGCATTCCCTTCTTCCCATAAAATAAAATCACCAAGTAATCCACAAAGTAATAAATCGCTGGTATCGCCAAATAATCCACACATGAGCCAAAGCTTAATGCTGGAACAAGACTGACTTTTAATGACACACACTCTGCTTTTATGCAATTCTCCCGTGCAAGAGAGTCGCCCACAGACAATTATGAATTACCCAATCACAAACTGATAACATCCCACACATCTCCTCCCCTTAGCCTGAGAGGTAACCCAATTTCCATACAGTTTAAAACATACTTTTTACCCAACTTTAATAACTCTCAAACTATACAACCAATATTAATAAAAGTCACATATTATTAATCAGCACATTTCAAATACAAACATACCCAAAAATCATTCGAATCCGTTCAGCCGTTCGGGATATACATATAAGTGACCTTTGACAGACCGCAAGCACATTTTCATGCCCAAAAAGAGTTCCAGAGAGTTGGGCTGTGCGGTGGGTCAATTTCACACAGAAAAATGTCTAAGTCCCATTCGAATGCACAAACGAGGCCGTTCGTGCAAATAAGATATAAGATACACCTAGATAAAAAATAACAAGAAAGGAACAATCATAGGGAAACACCGTTTAGTAGATGGTACCCTAAAGTAATATTGCACTCACGAAATAGTGATGAAAATCAAGCCCATCTAGATTTTCTTTGATCTTGTCAGGAAGCCTTGTGAGGAGATGGTTAATGCCTCAAATGAAGAAAAACCGAACATAGTATAGAATTGTATGGTAAAAAGGAATTACATTTTATTGGAAACACTTACACAAATTGTAGATAAAAACGCCCATCAAGTAAATGTCTCCCTTGTAAGGTGGTAATCAAAGGTTGATACAGAGATGGCAAATCAAATGAAATAAAATAAAAGCAGCTCTACGCGTTAAACCAGGATATTGCTAAAATATTCAGATTAAACCAGGATATTGCTAAAAAATTCAGATCTCGGTCCACCTTCTGTCCATATGAGAAGGGTGGCCAAATTGAAACATTCCAGAAAATGGTTCTGGCAGACCTTGAAAAATTAACTAGCAAGAAAGAATATTGCAATAATTTAACTAAAGCAGAAATGCGGACCCTTAATTCTTTAAAGAAAAGGAAAGATATTATTATAAAGAATGCTGACAAGGGAGGGGGCATTGTGGTCATGACAAGAGAATATTATTTAAATGAGTCTTTTAGATTACTAGGGGATGCCGAGACTTATTTACGACTTTCTAAGAGTCCGAATGAAACCTTTAAATATGAACTTAAGACTCTTTTGGATAAAGCTGTAGAAGAGCAGAACATAGATGTTGGAACTTATCGTTTTCTATATCAAGAATACCCTAGAGTTCCAACATTCTATTTTTTGCCTAAAGTTCATAAATGTCAAATAAATCCACCTGGTAGACCGATCATCAGTGGAATTGACTCTTTGACTTCCAACTTATCTCAATTTATTGACCATTATTTACAACCATATGCCCAATCCTCCTTATCTTATCTAAAAGACACGAAGCACCTCTTACAGGAACTCGATTCTATCGAGTGGCAAGAGGGGTATATGTGGGCATCTTTAGATGTGGGATCCCTTTATACTGTTATTGACCATCAATTAGGCTTATTAGCCGTGAGTGATAATTTAAACAAGGACATTTCCTTGAATCAGGGTTTTGCCCAGTTTTTGCTTGAAGCGATTCAATTTATACTCACCCATAATTTCTTTATGTTCAATGATGAGTTCTTCCTGTAGACCAAGGGTACTGCCATGGGCACCAGGTTTGCCCCGAGTTATGCCAACATTTTTATGGATTATTGGGAGCGCCAATTTATTTGGGAACATAATCCATTCAGGGCAGATCTGGTGCTCTGGCGTCGTTATATTGACGATATCCTTGTGATATGGAAGGGGTCTGAGGAACGTTTATTAAATTTTTTAAAATATCTTAATGACAACACTTTTTCACTTATTTTTTCTCCTATGTATTTTTTCTACCACCGTAGATTTTTTAGACCTGACCATATTTATACAAGAAGGTCATATTCAAACTAAAACATACTTCAAACCCACTGACACTAATAATTATATTGAATCATCAAGCGGACACCATCCAAGATGGTTGTCGGGAGTACCCAGAAGCCAATATATACCTGACTTCGAAGAAATTGTTCTAATAAAGAAGTTTTTTTTAGAACAAGCAAATATTCTGACCAATAAATTTATCGAGAAAGGTTATAACAGGGGGGCCTTGGATAGAGAGATAGAGAAAATAACGAATATTCAAAGGGGTGATCTTTTAATTGATAAAATCAAATGCACTGAGAACTCGAATAAGAAATTTGAATTCTCATTTCATACTAACTATAACTCTAAAGCTTTTGCAATTAACAAAATTTTCAAAAAACATTGGGAGATTTTAAGACATGACCAATTTATAGGCTCCAAATTACCCTCATACCCTCAAATAGTATATAGGAAAGGGAGGAGTTTTTCATCCTACCTAGCACCTAGCCATTTTCGAAGTGGGGAACAACAGGAATTGAAGGCAAAAAAAGGGTTTTATACCTGTGGTGCCTGCAAAGCATGTAAAGGCTTACCTCCTTATACTCGTTCTTTTAAGAGTTTTATAACCCAAGAAACTTTTCAGATCCAAAGTCGGGTGACCTGTTTTTCCTCACATGTTGTATACCTCCTCACATGTGGGTGTGGTGTCCAATATGTGGGGAGAACAGGAAGAAAGGCCAAATTGCGTTTCTTAGAACATCAAAATAATATTAGACGCAAAAAGACGGATCATTCTGTTCCTGTTCATTGTAATCAGTGCCCCCTTTTTTCTTCTCACGTTTTCTCTTGGGTGATTATTGAACAAGTAACACTTGACGTAAGAGGTGGAGATATCACCATGAAATTAAGACAGAGGGAAGGATTTTGGATCCATAAACTCAAAACCCTTCAACCATATGGGTTGAATGTGGATTTTGATTTTGTTTGTTTTCTTTAACGGTATCCTTATTATTATTATTATTATTATTTTTTATTTTTATATTTATTTTTATTTTTTATTATGATTATCATTTTATTTCACTTTTTATTTTTATTTTTATATTTATATTTATATTTATTTTTATTTTCATTTTTATTTATTTATATTTCATTATTTCATTTTATTATTATCATTTTTTTACTTTATTCATTTTCATGTTTATTTACTTTCCTTTTATATATTTTTTTTATATATTTTTTTTTATATATTCACATATTTATTTATTTATAGATGTATCCAAGATCCTTCCCTTTGGGCATATCACTCTCTCTCTCTCCTTTTTTGTTTTGTACTAGTTTTTTTGTATTTATTTTTTGTGGGTTATTTATGTACATATCATGTTTTGTGTATATAATTTTATTTCTCTGTCATATCATCTTCCTCACAAGTATGAACTATTTTTAGTGAAGATAATGGCTTAGCGGCTAAATGGAACGCACGTGCGTTCCAACTGATGATGTTGATAGAAGAGACCTTTCCTTTCCTGCTAGGTGGAACGCAGATGCGCTCCACGAAGTGAATAACGGAAGTCCATATATGGAATGGGACTTCTGTTTATTGCAACCAGCTGTTACTAAGTGCACAGATTGGACGGCGTGAATGAGAACCCGGCAAAAGAGATTTAAAAAGAAGACCGAACAGAAGACAACAGTAATATTGATGGACTCAGTACATTGTAATTTGTAATCTATTTGATTGTTTTTTATTTATTTATTGCTCCTGAGGAAGTCTAAGTCTTTTAGACGAAACGCATAGAGCTGCTTTTATTTTATTTCATTTGATTTGCCATCTCTGTATTTTCAACCTTTGATTATCACCTTACAAGGGAGACATTTACTTGATGGGCGTTTTTATCTACAATTTGTGTAAGTGTTTCCAATAAAATGTAATTCCTTTTTACCATACAATTCTATACTATGTTCGGTTTTTCTTCATTTGAGGCATTAACCATCTCCTCACAAGGCTTCCTGACAAGATCAAAGAAAATCTAGATGGGCTTGATTTTCATCACTATTTCGTGAGTGCAATATTACTTTAGGGTACCATCTACTAAACGGTGTTTCCCTATGATTGTTCCTTTCTTGTTATTTTTTATCTAGGTGTATCTTATATCTTGTATGCATTCTTTGAAGCTCTGAGGAACTTCTTGTTACAACCTAGACTTTTTAAGGGAAGTAATTTTTTACCTTATTTTATATTATTTTTGCTGCACTTGGGTGGTCTTTTATTAGATACGTTCGTGCAAATAGCCCAGTCTAACAATGTGTTCGAATTGTCAAACGCACTTCGATTCCGGCCGAAGCGTAGAAGTTCCTGAGAAGGTAAGGGTCAGCAGTGTTCGTGCAAATGCGTAGCCGATTTTAGTTCCATAGATTCAGTGGCATGCACCGCTGACCATGTTCGACTAAATTAAAATGGCCACGTGTTCGGTTTTCGAATGGCGGCCACTTCGACTACTTCGGGACTTTGACTGCATCCGAAGTGCCAATTTAAAAATACAAATCCTTTCTCTGGGAGTTAAAGGGCCAGCAGCAGCACAACGAAAATCCATTATGCTCAAATCTTGTATTTAAAGGGCCAAACCTCCCAGGGACCACAATCACATGGCAAGAGGCTGGCAAGCAGTCCTCGCAGGCACAAGTGGCGAGGTTAATTTTGCCACAGTTAGTAAGAGTTTTTCTAATTAAAATATATAAATAATTGAGAATACAATTAAAGCAGAGATTGTCTTGGAAGTAATGAAGTTTTTTTATTGTTTTTAAAAAATATTTGAATAATTAAAAATATAAATATAGACATATAAAAACTTAACAATCCATTACAATAATTTATTGCAGAGTTTATAAGATTAAAGTATATGCTTGCAATATCAATAAAATAGAATAACATACCCTCTTGAACAAGTCAATCTCTCATTCATGATAAAATGGAGCAGCGTCTCCGCATCCAATATTCTCTCCTCTGTCTTTTATTAATAAGTACACATATTTATACCTTAGATGTTCAATTAGGTCATGTTAGGACCTATCTTAACGTGGCAAAGATACAAGGCCTCGAGCATTAAATGACATAGCCTTGTCATTTTACAAGGAAACATTTTACTCAGTCTATTGTCATGACCAAGACATCTTATCTTTGTTTAGACTAAAACTTAAAGTATATACATGACATGGGAAATTCCCCGACTTGGGGAATTCCACTATCCTAAGGCAAGATGGCGTCCTAAAGTCTGAACACCATGTTCACTGAATATCGGTAAGAGGTCATTTACTAAAGAAACATTGTATGAAAAACAATATGTTACAGTTCTAACAACTTGTCAGTTTGCAAAATCTCTTGAAGACAAAGTACACAATTTAAGAAATACGTTTAATTAAAAAAACAATAATAATATTTGCAAATGCCCATAACATGTGCTGTATTACATGTGCTGTATTACAGAAATAAAAAAAAAAATCTTTTTAATTAAAAAAACAAATTGGAGAATTTGTCCTTCCGGTTCTGGGGGAATGTATCAGAGCATTGGTATCAGGCAACATGGCTGACGATGAAAATCAAGTAGAGCCTCTATTCAAGACCTCCCAGCAGAAGAATATACTAGCTGGTGAGGGAGATCTTTGATTTCAGCACCGACAGTGCTTATGCCTGCTGCCCCGAGGAATGGTTTGATAAACACAACAAAAAAATCAAGATATCGTGTTGGCCTCCAAATTCCTCAGCTCTCAATCCAATTGAGCATCTGTGGGTTGTGCTGGAACAACGAATTCGATCCATGGAGGCCCCACCTCACAACTTACAGGACTTAAAGGATCTGCTGCTAATGTCTTGGTGCCATATACCACATGACACGTTCAGAGGTCTTGTGTAGTCCATGCCGCAACGCATCAGAGCTGTTTTGGCAGCACGAGAGGGACCTACATGATATTAGGCAAGTGGTTTTAATTTAGTCACTGATTAATGTAAGTCAAGATGCAGTGCAGAAAGTAGATATTTAAAGGCAGCTAAGATTTGCATAGGTTTGGAATACATCTTGAATGAGTTGATGGTAGCTTTCCTCTTTGTGATTCCAGAGAAAACCCTGGACCACATATATGAATGATTTCTTTGCAGTTTTCTAAATTCAGTTTGTCTGCGAAGACATCATTATTCAGTAGCTTCCTGATGTGAGGGCCAACAAAGATCTCTTCTTTTAGTTGCATCACTTACACTTTCCCAGTTTTGCCCATAGTCTTTACAAGGTTTTTCTTAAGCACCAGTTTGGATGATAACAATGATGCCCCTCCTCGTTCCCTCCGCTCTGCCCGTGACCTTCTCCTGTCCGCTGCTCACACCCGTATGGCCAACTCACGCTTGCAGGACTTCTCGCGGATGGCTCCCTTCCTATTGAATAGCCTGCCTACCGCCATCAGACCCTTCCCCAAGTCTTCAATCGCTTAAGAAGTGCCTTAAAACCCATCTCTTTAGGAAAGCTTATGGCCCCCCAGAGTAACCTCTACCTTACATAACTGTCTCTTGCTCTTTCCTAATTCTCACCTTATTTGATTGCTATTTCTGTCCTAGTGTATTTTATACCCCACCTCCTATAGACTGTAAGCTCGTTTGAGCAGGGTACTCTTCAACCTATCGTTCCTGTAAGTTTTCTTGTAATTGTCCTATTTATAGTTAAACCCCCCTCTCATAATACTGTAAAGTGCTACGGAATCTGTTGGCGCTATATAAATGGCAATAATAATAACAACATGAATGGCTGTCCAAAATTAGATTACGGTTACATTTATTTTTCCGCTTGGAATCGGTATTCCTAACTGCATTAATTTAAAATTGACTGGAGATTTTGGTTTAAGAATATTTTAATAGGAGTCTAAATGACCAAAAGCACTAGATATTTTTTTAGTGGTAGATCTGAATGAAAGCATCTTGAAAAATGTTAAAGTCATCTAAAATTGTTCATTATAAAAACAATTTTAATGTTTCCCATTGGAATCAATAGGTGTTGCTAAATGTTATGTATCATTTCCACTGGTGTCCTATCAAATACAGCAAAGCATGCAGGGAAATAGTTTGAAAACCAGATACCAATATTGTGACGGAAACTCCCGTGCCACAGACTCTTGGCGAAGCATGAAGGCTAGCCTCCTGCCTAAAGACTATGGGACTGGTCCCAAAAAACACTTTTTCTGCTGTACTATGTTATTTTACTTACATTGCTATTCTAACAACTTGTGCAGGACTCCCAGTCATCTCCTCTCTGAAAAGACTATAATCCATACAGTTACCCCTCCATTCCGTGCCTTCCAGCTCAGTGTCCCTTTCCCGGGGATCCAGGAGTCACCACAAGCTGGCTGGGAGACTACAGAGGCATGGCACACCTGACCAGGAGCAACTCACAATCTCTGTGGAACTTTTGGTTGGATTGTGAAATTGCTTCGGTCCTGTAAAATTTTAGATAGATAGGTGTCTATCAGAGTGCTTTTTGTAGGGTAGATCAGGGAGGAAGAGAGGCATCGAAAGACACCTTGTACTTGAGGGAGCTCCCAACCCCGAACCCACTGGAGGCGAGAATAGGTAACCAAGACTTATGAACAAACGGCCTGGAACTCTGACCCAGATTGAAGAATAGCCGCAGCCCGGTCAAACTTTAACATTCTATAACTCGGGCGTGGATTCTCCAGTCAGGGCGCTATTTAGCCATCATGGGCACTCAGAATAGAGTTTTCCAGGGACACATAACATAGTGTATCAGTGTACTGGCCTCCCTGGAGCCCCTTGAACCCCATTTTGTAAGTCCAGGAAAAGCAGCCGCACACTTGAAACTCTAAGACAGATCAGAGAATAGTCGCAACCCAGTAAAAGTTTAACATGTTATAATTCGGGCAAGGATTCTATGATCACAGTGCTTATTAGACAGAATGGGTGCCCAGTCACAGGCTTTTGAACGAGGAGGGCGTTTTGTTATTGCCGAGTTATTAAATAAAATGTAAACAGAGGGAAGGTTATTATGTTACGGTATAACTATTATTGTGCAATACGTCTTGGTGTCAGGCAGATAATTGAGTTATGGTGTCTTAACCTAACTATGTCCCAGACACCAAGAAGCTTGTATTGTTTTGTTGACAACCCCCTGTTGTGATTGCACACACATGTGCTTTGATTCAATAAAGGTTGTTCTACCCCCAGCATTCAGACTAGTCTAATGTATGGGGGGGAAAAGGCTCTATCTAGAAGCTCATTTATCCAGTTGTTCACCAGGTCATCAGATGTAACTATCCTGTTGCTTATTTATTTATTACTGGTATTTATAAAGCACCAACATATTCTGCAACGCTGTACATTTGGGAAAAAGACAAAACCATAAGAACAGACCGATACAACAGGTAGAGGGCCCTGCCTATGAGCTTACAATCTAAAGGTATAAATGACATACATTTTACATCATATCAAATTGAACTGTTTATAATCAGTGTGAATGATGTACAAAGCAGTTAAATGCTAAGTTAAATGGATTGTAAATTTAATAAAAGATAGCTCATTGTTATATACAAGAAGGGCTGTCAACATTTGGCCTGGGGAGAAAAAACAAATGAGTTGCCTTTTTCGCACACAAAACACAAGGATTTCTGTATGAGTGATTCTACTCATGCAGAGCATAGGTTATATGAATTTGACAGATGGGAACTACTATAATCTTTAGAGAAATGGTGTAAGCCCGTACACTAGTGATCTGGGACACATTTCCCCCTTAACGTCTTCCGTCCTTGCTTGCTTTTCCCTGATTGCATAGAACACAGCTTCGGAACACTCAGGACCGTACCACAACACAACTCATCATGATTGCAATAAATTTGTATGAAAAGTTATAATCTGTAGAAAAGAATCCTACAATCTTAGTACTATAAACACATTCATACTAAGGAATAATTCATATGTAACAGTAACACCTTTCCCTGACCAAGAATCACAAGAGTTACAATCCAAAGCATTCTGAAGACATCTAGCCCCCAAAACCTGAAACACGGGGCCAGTACAAACCTTTATCTGGAAATCTATTTGTAAACAGGGCTTTACATAGGACACGAGGTCACACATGTAGGCTGGAAGAAAGGAGATTTCATCTAAGGCAAAGAAAAGGTTTTTTTACAGTAAGAACAATAAGGATATGGAATTCTCTGCCTGAAGAGGTGGTTTTGTCAGAGTCCATACAGATGTTTAAACTGAAATTGGATAAATACTTCCAAAAACATAACATACAGGGATATAATTTCTAATTAGTGGGGTAATAGCTGCTTGATCCAAAGAGACATCTGACTGCTATTTTGGGGTCAAGAATGAATTTTTTCCTAGTTTGTGGCAAAATTGGAAGCGCTTCAGACCAGGTTTTTTGCCTTCTTTTGGATCAACAGCAACAACATTTGTGAGGAAGGCTGAACTTGATGGACTCAAGTCTCTTTTCAGCTATGTAACTATGTAACCCTTTAACCCTAAGTACCCCTAATGCTAAAATGCCAAATAGGAATTTGAGAAGAAATGCCTTTACCCCTTTAGATCTCATTTTAAATAGAAGATAATTACTGCATAGGCTCAAATCAACAACTTCAATAACTACTTTTTGTTGATTATAATTATAATCTTTAAATATTCAAATATAAGCCCATCACCATGCTCTATACATTCATAAAAACTAGTAACATTAAAGCTCAGTAAAGTCAAAGCTTCTTTATATGCCATCTCGCCCAATTTCTATAAGATGCCTGCGTTATACAGTATAGAAGACTGCGTGAATACTGAAATCTTTATAACCTTTATTAAAAAAAAGACTCAGGACAGAGTCACTGCCATAAATCAGATTTAGGAGGGAGTCGTTCGCTTCATTCCTTTTGACACTTGCACTTTTATTTGTATTTTACGGATTAAACAATGCATTGGGTGTATTGCAGAGGTTATTATCTGTCAAGACAGTTGAACCGATGCTCCTTTATTGGTGCTCATAAAAGCATCATTCATTAACAATGCAAATCCAGCGTTCCCATCTGTACTTCGATTTCATGAGATCGGCGGTATCCCTAAATGATGGGCCTTGGCATAAAGACTTGCAATTTAATAGGCGTTTTATGCATGTCAGTTTTTCTTACCGTTGCTTATTTAGTCATTTATTGTTCACGTATAAAATCCACCTGCTTTTAAAAACTGCTATGTGTAACTTACCTGTTCACAACGCTTAAGGCGTCCAATAACTACAGACTTGGCTGCTTATTAAATCATGCACATCTTATTAAACGATCACATGCAACATGATGCAATCCACAGGATTAAATGATGCCAGAAATATCCAGTCTTTCATAATTATAACTCGTAGAAAAAGGAAGAGACAGGTCTAAAGAGGTTCTGGAAATTCAAAATAAAAATAATGACATATTATATTCATACATACAGGGTCCTAGGAATAGACAGAGGCCAGTGTGATATAAAGACAGGTGAGATAGATAATAGGACAGTAAGGAAGATACGAAGGGGTAGCCAGACCCTGCCAATAGGGGAGGAGCACGGATGTGGAATTCAGGAAGTTCCAAAGCCATACTGAGAATAAATGCTGTTCCACTGAAATACACAGCTCAGTGACATTGAACAGCAGATACAACGTTTCCCGTGCATGACAGCATAACGTAAGTAGTAACACATTGTTAGTAAACTGCAGGTGTCTGACAGTAACTCAATATCATATTATATAACAATTGGGACAGTGTGTATATATAGCAATTGTTTATATATATATATATATATATAAATATAGATTGTATATCTCTGTGGCGTATTGCTTAGGTACTTTCTATCTTTGTGTATATAGCTGTACTTATAGTTTGGTTTTTATCACCACATTCTATTGCACATGTGTTAATAGTAAATGCCTAACAAACACTGGAACTACTTTGGGGTTAATGCGTGTGGTGATAGTACTTGAGGTTCATGACATCATTTAATCACTTTTTAACGACTCACCCATTAATTGTTTCACCAATTGTTTCACCAATCACTTATTCAAGCTTGGTTTTTGAACCTTTAAGGACTGACACATTCGATAATTTGTGTTACATTACTTACTTTAATAAAGGGATTAAAATCACAGAGAAACACCTGAGAGTGCGCTCTATCAAGGATTATTATATAATTGCCTGGAGCAGTGAGCCAGGGCAGTGAGTGCGGGGCACCAGTATATATACATTGTATGTTTTGATCCTGGGGAAAGTCCCAGGAGGGACTGAAACGTTGATCATTTTTATTTATATTTGAAATTTTAAAGACCAGAGTGCAGCCAACTTCATATGCTATCTATATATACAAACACACAAACATTATCTATCTGTTTTTATAAAATGTTGGAAACTACTGAACAGAAACATGTGAATAAATTTAGTTTTATGGTAAATTATAGTAGAGATGCAAAGATGATACATACCTCCAAACAATCTGTAATGGGGAATCGGGATGGTGCGGGAAGGCAACTAGTGACACCCTGAAACAGGCAGACCTGCCCACTGATAGGCCACCAGCCTTCAGGACCATGCTCTTGCCTCACAACGCTCATACATCCAATAATGTGCTTTGATGGCGCTGTGTTGCCCTAGAGACAGTTCCTGGTGTCTCCAGGGAACTAACGTGGAACAGGACCCCAAAATCAGGACTATCCCGTCAAACAAGGACTGATGGGAGGCCCAGTGATATCTATGTGTGAGAACAGGTTTTCAGGACACAAGTTCCTGCATAGTTTAATCTCAAATCTGGGTTCAATAATTCCTAAAAAGTAACTAAACAGGAATTTAAGGAGCATTGGCAATTGCAATTTTTAGGCCAAAAACAGCTGAAGTAGAAAATAACTGATTTGGAGAATTCCGATATTTTGGCTTAGAGTTTTTCATTTCTCCACAAATCCCACTTTATAGAATAACCCTGAAATCCTGAAGTCTTTAAAAATATAATCATCTGTAGTACCTGAAAAGTGTATCTGTTAGTAAAAGCTGATATTTCCATGGGAATTCAATGCAATCTGACTGCTCAATCCAATAGAAACCCACTGAAAAACGACATACAGAAAAAGCTAAGATTCAATGGCCTCAATTTAATATTTTGTAGGCTTTTTAAATTATTTAGTATTTTTTTTTAAAATATAAAAAAATTATATCTGTATATATATATATATTAATATTTAAAAAATATATCTATAACATATCAATATTTAAAAATAAAGCTATATTACAATATTAAATTGTTTTTTTTAAAGTTTAACAAAAAATATTAAATTGGGCGTATGTTACAAAGAAACATAGAATATAACGGCAGATAAGAACCACTCGGCCCATCTAGTCTGCCCAATTTTCTAAATACTTTCATTAGTCCCTGGCCTTATCTTATAGTTAGGATAGCCTTATGCCTATCCCACGCATGCTTAAACTCCTTTACTGTGTTAACCTCTACCACTTCAGCTGGAAGGCTATTCCATGCATCCACTACCCTCTCAGTAAAGTAATACTTCCTGATATTATTTTTAAACCTTTGTCCCTCTAATTTAAGACTATGTCCTCTTGTTGTGGTAGTTTTTCTTCTTTTAAATATAGTCTCCTCCTTTACTGTGTTGATTCCCTTTATGTATTTAAATGTTTCTATCATATCCCCCCTGTCTCGTCTTTCCTCCAAGCTATACATGTTAAGATCCTTTAACCTTTCCTGGTAAGTTTTATCCCGCAATCCATGAACCCGTTTAGTAGCCCTTCTCTGAACCCTCTCTAAGGTATCAATATCCTTCTGAAGATACAATCTCCAGTACTGTGTACAATACTCCAAGTGAGGTCTCACCAGTGTTCTGTTCAATGGCATGAGCACTTCCCTCTTTCTACTGCTAATACCTCTCCCTATACAACCAAGCATTCTGCTAGCATTTCCTGCTGCTCTATTACATTGTCTGCCTACCTTTAAGTCATCAGAAATAATCACCCCTAAATCCCTTTCCTCATATGTTGAGGTTAGGACTCTATCAAATATTCTGTACTCTGCCCTTGGGTTTTTACGTCCAAGATGCATTATCTTGCACTTATCCACATTAAATGTCAGTTGCCACAATTCTGACCATTTTTCTAGTTTACCTAAATCATTTGCCATTTGGCTTATCCCTCCTGGAACATCAACCCTGTTACATATCTTAGTATCATCAGCAAAAAGACATATCTTACCATCAAGACCTTCTGCAATATCACTAATAAAAATATTAAAGAGAATGGGTCCAAATACAGATCCCTGAGGTACCCCACTGGTGACAAGTCCAAGCTTCGAATATATTCCATTAACTACAACCCTCTGTTGCCTGTCACTCAGCCACTGCCTTACCCATTCAACAATATTGGAATCCAAACTTAAAGATTGCAGTTTATTGATAAGCCTTCTATGTGCAACAGTGTCAAAAGCCTTACTGAAATCTAGGTAAGCAATGTCTACTGCACCACCCTGATCTATAATTTTAGTTACCCAATCAAAAAAATCAATAAGATTAGTTTGGCATGATCTCCCTGAAGTAAACCCATGTTGTCTCTGATCTTGAAATTCATGTGTTTTTAGATGTTCAACAATCCTATCCTTTAACATGGTTTCCATCACTTTCCCCACTACTGAAGTAAGGCTTACTGGCCTATAGTTGCCCAACTCCTCCCTATTACCTTTCTTGTAAATGGTCACAACATTCGCTAACTTCCAATCTTCTGGGACTACTCCTGTTAACAATGATTGGTTAAATAAATCTGTTAATGGTTTTGCTAGTACACCACTAAGCTCTTTTAATAGCTTTGGGTGTATTCCATCAGGTCCCATTGACTTATTTGTCTTTACTTTTGACAGTTGAAATAGAACCTCTTCCTCTGTAAACTCACATGTAATAAATGACTCATTTATCCTTTTTCTTAAAGCGGCACTGTCATGCCGAACTTACCTTTCCTCAATCTCTTCCTCTTCTCCCCCTCTCTCAGGATCTGTTATTCTTTTCTTCCTGTCTTCTTTAGTTTTCTTTAAAATCATAAGACAAAGAAGGGACTCTTTGCCTTATGGAGGATTCCTCCGCTTGACCAGCTCTGACCAGCGGAGGAGCAAAGTGTGCTTCATTTCCGCTGGTCAGAGCAATTTTCCCATGATCCCTAGCTTTCCTCTGTGATCCCACAATGCTTCCTGTCACTTTACACAAAACTGCCGAATTGCGTTCTAACTGAATGACAACAGTATGTTCGTTTCTTTTAGAACGCAATTCGGCATTTTATTCGGATCGGAATTTCATTCTAATGAATGAAACTCTGATCCTATTCATTGCTGTGGCTGCATTTTGCAGCCGCTTAGTAGATAACTCCCTAATTCCCACGGTATCAGGGAGCTATCTACTAAAAGGCTGAAAGACCTAAATTGGTCTAACAGCCAACTTTACTAATACTAAGTAAAGATTACTTAGTATTAGTAAATAATATGCCCCTACTCGCTATATCGCGAGTAGGGGCATGTGTAGTAACCTGAGCGGTGGGTGGGGGCCCTAATAAAACAATAAGGGGGGGGGACCTACTGTCCTCCCCCCCCGGCCCCCACCCCTGTGCGTTGGGTGGGTGGGGGCCCTAATAAAACAATAAGGGGGACCTACTGTCAGAGTGCTCTGAGTCATTTTACACCGCGTGGGAAAAATTCTAAAGAACTTTCCCACGCTGTGTAAAATGACACAGAGTACTCTGATTGGGTGGCTTTCAAGCCACCCAATCAGAGTGCTATGAGTCATTTTACACAGCTAGTCAAAAGAACTTTTCCCACGCTGTGTAAAATGACTCAGAGCACTCTGATTGGCTTAAACCCACCAATCAGAGTGTTCTAAGCCTAATTGCAGGGCGGGGCAAGGCTTTATAAGCCTTGACCCGCCCTGCGGAGCTCAGTATGCGGCGTGCCCTCGAAGGGCGAACATGGATTATTTTTTTTTCTTTTTTTTTTTTTTTAAAGTGCGACGGGTGTAATGGATTTTTATTTGGCCTTTTTGGGGGCTGAAGAAAGAAGATTTTAGAAAAAAGAAGACGTCAAATGGTAAGTTTAATTTTTTTTTTTTTACAGGTTAGTTATTTTATTCCCCCCTCACTATTTGTAGGGTGAGGGGGGTAGGTAGGGGATAGGTTTTTTTGGGTGGGGGGTTGGTGACTAGGGGCTTGGGACCCCTAGTCACCTTGATTGGGGGGGGGTGTTTCATTTAGGGCCCCCACCCACCGCTCAGGGGTGGGGGCCGGGGGGGAGGACAGTAGGTCCCCCCCTTATTGTTTTATTAGGGCCCCCACCCACCGCTCAGGGGTGGGGAGGACAGTAGGTCCCCCCCCTTATTGTTTTATTGGGCCCCCACCCACCGCTCAGGGGTGGGGGCCAGGGGGGAGGACAGTAGGTCCCCCCTATTGTTTTATTAGGGCCCCCACCCACCGCTCAGGGGTGGGGGCCAGGGGGGAGGACAGTAGGTCCCCCCCTTATTGTTTTATTAGGGCCCCCACCCACCGCCAGGGGTGGCCAGGGGAGGACAGTAGGTCCCCCCTATTAGCTTTTATTAGGCCCCCACCCACCGCCAGGGTGGGTCGGGGAGGACAGTGAGGTCCCCCCTTATTAGTTTTACTAGGCCCCACCCACCGCAGGGTAGGGGCCGGGGGACAGGAAGTTCCCCATATCTTATTTAGCCCCCACCCACCAGAGGGCCAGGGGAGGACAGGTCCCCCTTATTGTTTTACAGCCCCACCCACCGCGCAGGGGTGGGGGCCGGGGGGGAGGACAGTAGGTCCCCCCCCTTATTAGGGCCCCCACCCACCGCGCAGGGGTGGGGGCGGGGGGGAGGACAGTAGGTCCCCCCCCTTATTGTTTTACTGGGGCCCCCACCCACCGCGCAGGGGTGGGGGCCAGGGGGGGAGGACAGTAGGTCCCCCCCCTTATTGTTTTATTAGGGCCCCCACCCACCGCGCAGGGGTGGGGGCCGGGGGGGGACAGAAGTTCCCCCCATATCTTTATTTTAGGCCCCCACCCACCGCTCAGGGGTGGGGGCCGGGGGGAGGACAGTAGGTCCCCCCCCTTATTGTTTTATTAGGGCCCCCACCCACCGCGGGGGGGAGGACAGTAGGTCCCCCTTATGAGTTTATTAGGGCCCCCACCCACCGCCGCAGGGTGGCTGTGGGAGGACAGTGGTCCCCCCTTTATGGTGAGCCCATTAGGGCCCCCACCCACCGCTCAGGGGTGGGGGCCGGGGGGGGGGGAGGACAGTAGGTCCCCCCCCCATTATCTTTATGGCCCCCACCCGCCGCTCAGGGTGGGGGAGGGGGGGAGGACAATAGGTCCGCCCCCCCTTATTGTAATTTATGTCTTTTTTTTCAACAGTGAGCAGCCACAGGCTGCTCACTGTTTAGTAGACATACCCCTACTCGCGGTATAGTGAGTAGGGGCATTTGGGAGATTTAAATCTCTCTTGTGCTATTATGGGGGTCATATTGACCCCCATAGAGTGAGAGGGGGTACTGGGGGGCTTATGAAGTGGTGGGGAGCACTGCTCCCTGCCGCTTCTATAGTTACATATTACAAGGAGGGAGCTGCACGCCGGTAGCTCCCTCCTTGTAATAACCTGCACGAACAAACATACACTGATACATTGTGTTTGTTTGTTCGGCTGATCTTTCTATTCACTCATTCGTCTGTCTGATGAATGAATGAATAGATGAAATTCCCGTTCGCATGTCCAGGTGTTTCACTGGGCATGTGCGGGAATCTCACAGTCTGCCTAGTGTGGGCAGATGACGTGTCCCACAGGGACTTCACCTACCCACACAAAGATGGCGGCGCCCTGAATCAAGATCGGGGCAGAAAATAAGGATTAAAAATAGGTAATGTGGGGGGCTTAGGGGCATTTGGGGGTGACTAGTGGGTCAATTGGATGTAGTGGAGGCGGGAGGGGGGTTAAAAAAAAAAACGGGTTTCGGCATGACAGTGCCGCTTTAACTGAGGTTGATTCCCTTGATGTATTTAAATGTTTCTATCATATCCCCCCCTGTCTCGTCTTTCCTCCAAGCTATACATGTTAAGATCCTTTAAATTTTCCTTGTAAGTTTTATCCTGCAATCCATAAACCAGTTTAGTAGCCCTTCTCTGAACTCTCTCCAAAGTATCAATATCCTTCTGGAGATACGGTCTCCAGTACTGCGTACAATTCTACAAGTGAGGTCTCACCAGTGTTCTGTACAATGGCATGAGCACTTCCCTCTTTCTATTGCTAATACCTCTCCCTATACAACCAAGCATTCTGTTAGCATTTCCAGCTGCTCTGTTACATTGTCTGCCTACCTTTAAGTCATCTGAAATAATTACTCCAAAATCCCTTTCCTCAGATGTTGAGGTTAGTAGGGTATGAAAAATCTTATACTATGCCCTTGGGTTTTTACGTCCAAGATGCATTATCTTGCACTTATCCACATTAAATGTCAGTTGCCACAATTCTGACCATTTTTCTAGTTTACCTAAATCATTTGCCATTTGGCGTATCCCTCCTGGAACATCAACCCTGTTACGTATCTTAGTATCATCAGCAAAAAGACATACCTTACCATCAAGACCTTCTACAATATCACTAATAAAAATATTAAAGAAAATGGGTCCAAGTACAGATCCCTGAGGTACCCCACTGGTGACAAGTCCAAGCTTCGAATATATTCCATTAACTACAACCCTCTGTTGCCTGTCACTCAGCCACTGCCTTACCCATTCAACAATATTGGAATCCAAACTTAAAGATTGCAGTTTATTGATAAGCCTTCTATGTGCAACAGTGTCAAAAGCCTTACTGAAATCTAGGTAAGCAATGTCTACTGCACCACCGTGATTTATTATTTTAGTTACCCAATCAAAAAAATCAATAAGATTAGTTTGGCATGATCTCCCTGAAGTAAACCCATGTTATCTCTGATCTTGAAATCCATGTGAATTTAGATGTTCATCAATCCCATCCTTTAACATGGTTTCCATCACTTTCCCCACTACTGAAGTAAGGCTTACTGGCCTATAGTTGCCCGACTTCTCCCTTCTACCTTTCTTGTGAATGAGTACAACATTCGCTAATTTTCAATGTTGGATATGTGTTACAGGGAAAAAAGGGACTGGTCTCCAGCCAAGGATACTCCAAAATATATATAGGTTGCTAGAATAGGATCTGCCAAAAATGGGGTGCGTTGGCATTGAGGCAGGCTTATGTAATATATGAACATATACGGTACTGTAACTAAACACCTATTATTTTTGTGCAAGTCAGGTGTTTTAAAAATAAATACATTTTAAGATTACGTTTTATGAGCTTTGAAGTTGGCGTTTAGTACATGAGTGAGGGCACTGGATTTACATTCAATTCATTATGACGCACATAATAAATAAATAAATAAATAAACAACAGCTCATGGAAACAAGTATTCAGTATTAAAACATTAGAGTCAGCAGAACAGAGACAATAAAGGGAAATTAAACTAATCGTTCCACTGAATTGTTTAATGCTTTTTCCATGAAACAAAACATTATTTGAATGAGATTCTAAAATGCACTAACTCCTGCCATCTGTAAAGGGAAGTTAAAGGGACACTATAGTCACCAGAACAACTACAGTTTAGTGCAGGCATTTTCATGTAAACACTGCCTTTTTCAGATGCTGCCTAGGGACACCTCTAGTGGCCATCTCTCAGACAGCTATTAGAGGTGCTTCCTGGGTAAGTGCTGCACAACATCGATCATGGAGATGCTGAACATTCCCCATAGAGATGCATTAATTCAATGCATCTCTATGAGGAGATGCTGATTGGGCAGGACGGCATGTGGCTCCATCCCTTGGCTGAGATCATCAATTCTGATGTTACCCAAGAAGGCAGAGCGTGGGCGGAGTTATTGCTATATTTAAGGGGGGGGGCTAAATAGTTTTTAACACTATAGAATCAGGAATGCATGTTTGTGTTCCTGACCCTGTAGTGTTCCTTTAAACATAAATAATAATAATTTTTTTAAAATCATTATTTAAATTAATAGGATAAATCCAATGCAAGGATGCTGTTACGCAGATAAATGATTCAATCAGTGTGTACTGGAAATAATAAAGGACAGTATAATCTCATGTGTGGTGTGCTGTTGTGGCACTTAAAGCATGCTTGTAAGTCTCTTGCACAGAAAAAAATAAAGAATTTAAAAAATAAATAAAAATCACACCGATATAGCGACAGACATAATTACACAATGTGTTCTCAGATTACGCATACTATTTTAAATAGCCTGCATGTCCTCGCTTTACATAAAGTTTTGGTTTACATAGCATTGCATCATACAGGCATAATGCGGAGTTTGGCACAGTGTAGCAGTGTTAAAGGACCGCTCTAGGCACCCTGACCACTTCAGCTTAATGAGGTGGTCTGGGTGCCAGGTCCCTCTAGGATTAACCCTTTCTTCTATAAACATAGCAGTTTCAGAGAAACTATAAATGGGTTAATCCATCCTCCAAATCCTCTAGTGGCTGTCTCATTGACAGCCGCTAGAGACGCTTGCGTGATTCTCACTGTGAAAATGACAGTGAGAGCACGCAAGCGTCCATAGGAAAGCATTGATAATGCTTTCCTATGCGACCGGCTGAATGCGGGCGCAGCTCTTGCCGGGCGTGCGCATTCAGCCGACGGGGAGGAACGGAGGAGGATCAGAGGAGGAGAGCTCCCTGTCCAGCGCTGGAAAAAGGTAAGTTTGGGGCACCCTCAGGGCACCATAGTGCCAGGAAAACAAGTATGTTTTCCTGGCACTATAGTGGTCCTTTAACCCATGTATCAAATTAAATTAACCTAATGTCAAACACAATAGTAAATCCTGGAACCAGGCATGCCATCAAAATGTAGTAATTGATGGTATGCAATATGTTACTGTAGATAGTCACAGCAATTCAATGGTTCCTTACACATCCCTAATTTACAATCTGCATCATTTACATTGTCAATGGATTAAAAGGAACAACTCTGTTCCTCTGGGAGTTAAATGAGGCAGGGCTACAATACACATTGTAATCTTTGGTGTCTGGTGGACCCCATGTAAGAAGTTAGAGCAGGGCTGTCACCCCTACCCCCGAAAATTAGAAATTCATAAAGATAGAATCCTTGTGAAATACTCATTTTGACTGTGTTGGAATTTCAGTGAAATTCAGACCCAATCAAGAGATATACTGAGAAAAAGTAGTGACTACTTTGTCTTTGTATATTTTCTCCACCTGACTTTCTTAGACACGGGGCGAAGCTTCAGCCATCACCAGTGACGGATGCAGGGTATTGGCTTTGTGTTTAATTATTGTTCACATTTTTTAGATTGTCATCTAATTTGAGCAGAACTCTGTAGCCTCGGGTTCTAGCATGTGGTTCTTGCAACCCCACAGTTGCTTGTTTATTTCAGTTCCTCATTGTACAGAGCTGCGGTAAATGTTTGCACTATCTAAATAATACTAGTACTTGGATCTGCAGCAGGGATGTTGTATGTACATTATATTGCATTCCCGAATCTCTGCTAACTGTAGAAATTGTAATCTTTTATTTACTTTCTACAACGTGCAATGGGTTCAAACGCTGCTGATATTGCCCAAGATATGGCACGGCTCAAGGTAAATGCGATTATAATAATACGATATTGTTCCTGCAGACCCAGCATTCTATAATGAGTGTTCCACATTCCAGAGTAATAACGGGCATCTGCCAGTTAACAGAGTAAATGTATGGCAAACTAGACTGTAGCAAACACAGTATTATACAGTTATATATTAAAAATAACAAAAAAAATCATGTGAGAGCCACTAAGTGCTTTGTCATTGCTACCTTTGTGCATGATCACCCCTTTGTTGCTGTTAATATCTACCTAGCATTATATTTACTGTTTGAATTGGCCAAAAAGTGTTATCATACCTTCCTACTAAGGATTCATGCTTCATTTACCACCATCGCATCTACTGCTTTCTTCCTAAACTTGCCATCCTGTGTGCGATTACATGTGTCAATGAATAGCAGACGATGACAACAACGAGTGATTAAGTAGGAATTTAGACTAATTATAAACACCACACCAAGGTCTGAATTCATTTGATATAATTAGAAAAAGGAAATGATAGAAACCAGTAGAATAATTCAAAGTGTTTAATTGTAAACTGTGATTTTGCAGCATTCAAATGCTGTTTTTTGTTTTGTTGTTTTTTTTTAATTGGACATATTGATAGCACGAAAATTGCCTATATGTTTTGGCAGAAAGTAGTTACCTTTAAGGGACACTCCGGGCACCAATACTTCTTTTATGCATTTGATAGATTTTGGCCTCGTTCGTATGCTGTAATTTATGCACACATTTAAATCTTTTTAATTTTTGCACACACACACACAAAAAAAATATTTTGCAGAACACTACACCATAACCCTGCATCTTTAGCCACACCCCCTCATTGCAAAAATACTTTCTTATCAAATGCATGCATACAGCCCCAACAGCACTGAGGGAGCTGTTTTTTAATTCACACACGTGTTGCAGACAGTCAGAGGAACTAAAAACAGGTAGTGATATCCTTATGTCTCCCTGGGTGTCCTCTCCTTCTAATGCAGGTTGTCCTGTTGTTCAGATCATTCCATACTGTCAGTGGCTGAGTTGTGTGGATTCCTTTGATAAGGAAGTATTTTTCTGGTGTCAGGGGGTGTGGCTAAAGAGGCAGGCCTACGGGGCATAATTCTGCAAAACATTTATTTATTTTATGCAAAAGCTATAAAGATTTAAGCATAAAGAAAGTACATGGCATTAATGAGGTCAAAACCTATCAAATGCATACAAGTTGTACTGGCACATTTAATGTATATTTGTCCTGCAATTGGGTGCCTACATTTTGGCTCTCTGTCGATCATTATTATAAACTCTGTCTTTTCCACCTGGCAGTGAGCACATAGAGAAACCCCAGAGAAGATGCGAAATTAAACAAATGTTTCTTTTTGTCTTTTTCAGTGATTGCTTTGGCTTTGCTTTGTTTGAACTGGTCGATGATGTAATTTGCTAAATTGTTAATATAAATTTAAAAGAAAGTGAGCATTTAATAAAAAGAATGTTAACACAAGTGATAGGTGGGTTTTAGTCACTGGTTTAAATTCCACAGACAGACAGTTTCTCTGTCAAGTGAACCAACATTATAAAAATATACAATGTTATAATATGTTTCTCTAACTAACACTAACCCAACTAAACCTTAACAAATCCTAACCCTAGTTAACCTTAACCCTGAACCCAAGTAACCCTAACTAATTCCTCTCCTAACTCAAACTCACCCTAATTGGAATCCTAACTCAAACTCACTCTAACACTAACTAATTCTGATCCCAACTCAAACTCACTCTGACCCTAACTAATCCTAATGATAGCTCAAACTCACCCTAACTCACCCTAATTCTAATCCTAACTGAAACTCACTCTGACCCTAACTAATCCTAATGATAGCTCAAACTCACCCTAACTCACCCTAATTATAATCCTAGCTCAAACTCACTCTAACCCTAACTAATCCTAATGCTAGCTCAAACTCACCCTAACTCACCCTAATTCTAATCCTAACTGAAACTCACTCTGACCCTAACTAATCCTAATGCTAGCTCAAACTCACACTAACTCACCCTAATTCTAATCCTAACTGAAACTCACTCTGACCCTAACTAATCCTAATGATAGCTCAAACTCACCCTAATTCTAATCCTAACTGAAACTCACTCTGACCCTAACTAATCCTAATGATAGCTCAAACTCACCCTAACTCACCCTAATTCTAATCCTAGCTCAAACGCACTCTAACCCTAACTAATCCTAATGATAGCTCAAACTCACCCTAACTCACCCTAATTCTAATCCTAGCTCAAACTCACTCTAACCCTAACTAATCCTAATGCTAGCTCAAACTCATCCTAACTCTAACTAATTCTAATCCTAGCTCAAACTCACTCTAACCCTAAATAATCCTAATACTAACTAAAACTCACCCTCACCCTAATTCTAATTCTAGCTCAAACTCACTCTAATGCTATTTAATTCTAATCCTAACAAAGACTCACCCTGACCCTAACTAATTCTAATCCTAACTCAAACTCACCCTAACTCATCCTAATTCTAATCCTAACTCAAACTCACTCTAACTCTGACTAATCCTAATGCTAGCTCAAACTCACCCAAACGTTAACTAATTCTAATCCTAACTCAGCCTAACCATAAATAATCATAATACTAACTCAAACTCACCCTAACCCTAACTAATTCTAATCCTAACTCAAACTCACCCTAATTATAATCCTAACTCAAACTCACTCTAACCCTAACTAATCCTAATGCTAGTTCAAACTCACCCTAACCCTAACTAATCCTAATGCTAGCTCAAACTCACCCTAACTCTAACTAATTCTAATCCTAACTCAAACTCATCCTAACCCTAGGAAACACTAGCAATAAATTTTTTAGTAGATTGGTCCCTAGGCTGAGTGATACTTGTGAGAGCCAGTCACAGTATTCACATTGCCTTAGATGATAGCTACTAGCTCTCAGGTCATTCAAATATCTGAGGAACCAATCTGACAATGTTGGACTGCAACACTGCTGAACAGCCAAAAATATCACCCAAGAATGCACTGTTCCAGATGAGCATTGGCTGTCAGGTATAGGATACCTGTGATTGGCTCTCACGCTGATCCTATGCTTGTAGTAGCCCATTTGACTATTGCAGGCCACCTCCTGACTTTCAGTAATAGCATGGCACATGTTGCTTTATACTGATAGCATACTTCCCAACAATCTTGATCGGAGAATTGGGACAGGGACTAGTAACGACCATAACAGGTTCCTTGGCTAGCCCTCAGCTTTTAGAACCATGCATGGAGTCAAGTTGTAGCACTCCCTGCATGGTTTTAATCAGTGCCATCTTAACAACATTATGGGCCCCCAAGGCAAAACAGTGCACTGGGGCCCTGCCTACACAACCAGTCACAGGAAAAAAAATTTAAATTATGTGTGTGAGTGTAAGGGGTGCTCAGTGTGTGTGTTAGGGGGAGGGGAATGCATAGGGAAAAGGAATTATTTGTTTGTTATTTTATTAATTTTTTTATTTTTATAAAAGTTTCATGTCCCCCCTCAGTGCCCCCACCCTTTTTCTTACCTTTGATGGGGGTAAGGGACACACTGACAACTCTGGTGATCTGGTGGTGAATAATGATCTACAGCCTGCAGCTCCTCCAGCTGCAGCCTATCTTCATTCCTCCCTCGAGCAGGATACTGTGTCGAAGCATTGCGATGGCAACGCGCGGCAATGCTCAGTCCAGCATGCTCGCGGAAGGGACTGCCTCCCAGGTTCTCTCTCCATCCCACCCAAACCAAGCGAGCAGGGCCAGCTCTCCGTGGGCTGGCAGGGAAGATCAAAGGATCTTCCCTGTCGGCCGGGTATATTGGCAATACTGTGGGGCTCCCATGCTTGTGGGGCCCCCTGGCAACTGCCCAGCGTACACATGCGGAAAAGACGGCCCTGGTTTTAATGCCCGATGTACAGTGCAAGCATATTAGTAACCTGATATCCCCAGATACGAGACACGTGGGAACTAGAGCGGGATGGTGGGACAGGATCCTGAAATTAGGATTGTACTGCTAAATGGGGAATGTTGTGAGGCATATTGTGTGCAAGCACTGGGGCCAGCTGTCCCAGCTATGAGTTGTGAAGGAAGGGGAGATCTCCACATGGCTGTTTCTATGATCTCTCACAAAGACACATAAAGCCCACAAAATGATAGCACTTTTGCTGTCCTTCATGAAGGTTACATTGGCTGTCGCAAACTGCATAAGTGGTGGAGAAATACCCTGTGTAGCAGCCATCGTGAAGGGGTTAAAGTTCATGCTGCTGCTGCCTTTGTACACAAAATCTACAGCAGAAGATCTTCTTTGTGGCAGACCCTGTCCTATCCCCATTTGGTTGCCAGTATTCCCCTTTTGATTTCCCTGAAAAAACTGTGTTCCCCTGGCTCTATAGCTTCACTCTACCGAATTCATCCGAACACTTGCTCCATAGCGGCCGAGCAGTTGAGCTTGTGAACAGGCTTCAGCAGTACTTCAGCCAAGACCGCTATGGAACTCTCAACACATCGGCTACATTGGCTATATAACTTTGCAGTTCCCAGGCATCTTGACCCAATGTGATGACCCACTTGCCGACCTGCCAGGAGAACGCTAAATGGAGGGAAGGTACTATGGACTATGAGGAACAATCGCTCTTTGAGAGTCAGGGGGAACTTCCCTTCATTTGACCACTGGAGCTCCCGATATTTGACCAGTGAAGACCACTTTCGCTCTAATTCCTTATGGATCCGGGGCACTATTTGGAAAACTTGGGTGCTCGCAAAAGAGCTATTCAGGGGTGTATTACATGTGGGGTTCCTGTGTGTTTTAACTGTGTGTTGGGGTACTTTTATGTTTTTTTTATGTTTGGCTTTCTGTATCCGGGATAATTAACTTACTGGTCCTTCACTCAATTATCTCCCAGACACAGAGACACCTGGGCGGGGATTGTACCTATTGTATGGAGCTAAAAGGTCGGGTTTAACTCAATAAAGTCAGTTGTACTCTGAGAACTATGTGTCGTCCAGTTACTGGGGGAATGGGCTATATTCACTAAGCAGTGCTTTGTTCCAGCTCAAGAAGATTTCGGCAGAGACATTTGGTCTTAGGATTGTAGCTCTGCTACAGTCTTCTCCCAGACAGACTAGGAAGTGGCTACCAGTCAGGGTTCTTCCATTCTGGTGTATGAGATGTAATCTCAAGTAAAGCCCTTTTCTTCATGAGCTTGTGGGATACATACTCCAGACCCTAGCTATGGTTACAATCACCTGATTTGATGAGAATAGAAGCGCTCAGTAAGCTGATACTTGGCTACTATCAGTGTAGAAATAACTATCGGTGAACAGTTTACGTCACAATATTTTTCTGATCCAACAACCACGTATGCAACTTCAGCTTAGGCTCTCTCCTCCTTTGACATTAGCAGAAGGGATAGCTGATGTTGTGTTCAGGGACTTCCTTGCACCTTACTCTATCCAATGAGCACAGGGTGTTACGTTGCTTAGAGTGGGCCTTTAACAGACACGTTTTTTTATTTTATCACAGTTTCCAATTAGTAACCTATTACAGCATGGATAGAAACCAACAATAATAATACATGCAGGTATTCTATGTAAATGGATTTGCTTTCTCATTTTTGTTCTAAACATCAAACCTTTTCAAAGACCTAGATTAACCCTGAAACGCGGCTTAGACACTGGCACAGCTTCCAAAAGTTTAAACAAGTTTTTAGAAGAATTGCTGAGCTTTGGAAAAACCTGGCAGTGGAAAAATTCTACCTTGTTTAATGGGATCTGATTTCCAGTTTCAAGATTAGGATAATAACACTGTTTTTCTGTAATTGATAATTTATTATACTACCAGCAGCCAGTGCCCTAACAGACATCACCATGTTCATTGTTATACACTGAAGTGTGAATTGGTATGAATTGAAAGCGAAATTGAATATAAAATTACAGACTAAGATCGCTCGTTTCAAAACATAGGTAATGTAGAATTTTTTAAAAATCTGATTATTTTGGCCTAATATTCATTAATCTGCCCCACACTTCCAAAAGTTAGTCCTCACCTACTTATAAAAGGGAAACCATGACAATCCTGGCACCATAACCCCTACAGCTATGGTGCTTGGAGTGTGTAAAGATACAATCCAGATCCCTAAAGCACGTTAGCTTGCTGAAAAGCTTTATGTGTGAAGGCTGTCCTTTTTTCATTTTGAAAAAAGTACATATTTCAGTAGAAAATTACACTTTTATAAATTAAAGGTACACTATGGTCACCAAAATAACTTTAGTTTAATGAAGCAATTTTGGTGTATAGATCATGCCCCTGCAGTCTCACTGCTTGATTCTCTGCCATTTAGTTGTTAAATCACTTTGTTTATACAGCCGTAGTCACTATTCCCTGCATGTGACTTATTCAGTCTTCCTAAACACTTCCTGTAAAGAGTCATCTAATGTTTACACTTCCTTTATTGCAAATTCTGTTTAATTTAGAATTTAGTTTTAGCTTCAGCTCTATTAATAGCTTACCAGACCCTACAGGAGCCACCTGTATGTAATTAAAGTTCAATTTACAGATCCGTAGATAAAAACTTTTAAAGTAAGTTACAATTCTGATTAAAAATGAAACCATTTTATTTTTATGCAGCCTGTGCCAGTCACAGCCAGGGGAGGTGTGGCTATAGCTGCATACACAGAAACAAACGTGATTGAGCTCCTAAATGGTAGTGAACTGAGCGTTGGTGAGATGGAGGGGGGGTGATGGTGAGAGGGAGGGGGGTGATGGTGTGAAGGGGTTTGTTGGTGTGAGTAAGGAGGGTGATGGTGAGAGGGAGGGGGTACTATACCTTTTGTCATTCCCTGGTGGTCCAGTGTGGGGTCCCTGGTAATCCAGTGGGCTCCCTGGTGGTCCGGTGGTGATATCCAGTCTGCAGTTCCGCAGTGTGCAGGGCTGCAGATCATGTATATCATGAGACCCGGTCAGAGCATTGCCGTGGTAACCCGCAACAACAGTCTGATTGGCCAGATCTCACGAGACACATGGTCTGCAGCTATGCACACTGTGGAGCTGCAGACCAGCGGCCACGGGCGCTCTCCAGCCAGGCCGGGCAACCTGCAGGGGCCTCGCACCCCTCCTGGTGTCAGGTCCTCGGTCACTGATTGAGGACCTGACACAGTCTCCCTAACTTGGATTAGGTGGCCACGAGGCCTTAGGCGGCCACCTAAACCACTTAATTAGAGAGCCGCCTCTGCAGGAGGCCGTTTTTAAAATGATTTATATATATGAGGCAGTGCATAAGTCTTGGTAATCAGTTCTGCGCTTTATGGAACGCTGTACATGTGTGGCCTAGAACTTGTGACACAGGCTAGATTAAGCTGTTCTAGGATTGGCTAGCCCCTGGTGTAGATAATCAGTAATGAGAGGGAAAAACTAAGGTGTATGAAATAAATATAGCAAAAGGTAAACTATGTAGATGCTCCTGTTCGGAGTTGGGCTATAATCTTACATAGCTCCCTGGGTTTTATATGGATTAACACTATGGCCCTCTGGTACCATCAACAATGTTGGTAATTCCTTTGGGTATAACTAGTGGTTTATGAGTCAACGCTGTGCACTTTTACTGGCCTTATGGGCATCTGTGTAGTCGGGGGGAGGAAAATTCAGACGCTGGAGTAAGGTATCTCCTCCAATCACTTCTGGCACCCCCCTGAGGCGGATGTTCTTCCGTCTATGCCGGGACTCCAGCACTGTCACCATTCTTGTGAGACTCTGGACTTGATGGGCGAGGTCTTGGACCTGGTCTTGGGTGGTCTGCAACCTTTGTTCCCTAGCGCCCTCTCTAGACTCCACAGCGGTAATCTGTTGGCGCAGGGTCCCCAGTTCTGCTTTTGTTTCCAGCAGGTCTGCCTTCCACACTTGCCTTATTTCCAGCAGGAGACTTTTGATGTCTCCTTTCGTTGCCGGTGACGAGTCGTCCTCTCAGTCTGACTCATTGTGGCTGCTGGCGCTGGAGGCGAAGAAGGGGCTTCCTCCTCTTCTCGGAGACCTCCTCCACGCTGAGTTCCAAAGGGGCCATCTTAGGAAGAGCCCGTTGAGTAGGCCTGTCAAAGGAGAGTTGTATGTCTGGCAGTTTAGCGGCTTTTGGGGTGCAAAATTTTAAAAAATTTCGCCTCATGGTGTCGTCTGGATGGGGGGGCAATAAGGTGGGTTGTCTTTTGGAGCTTGTCGGGCAATATTATTCTCTGATTGTTATAATCTGGATCGGAGCTCCTCAAAAGCACTATATCCCATGGCCAAGAGGACACACTCTTTACACATAAAGCTTTTCCACAAGCTAAAGTCCTTTAGGGGTCTGGAGTGTCCCTTTAAGTCAACGGACCTCATATTATCATTGCTGGTTTCTCAGGTAATAAAACACATATAACTGACTTATCTGTATGTGTACATTCTTGTGGGCATGGTGTGATTCCTGGGGGTATTTGCATACATCTCTGAAAAACAAAGTATCCGCTTTGGGATTACACCTTGACTGTGTCAATGTCTCCCTCTCCTAACCCCCCCAAACAAGTGGTTTTAACCCCTTAAGGACACATGATGGAAATATTCCGTCATGATTCCATGTTATTCCAGAAGTTGTGTCCCTAAGGGGTTAAATACCTAATGTTCATTACAAAAAAAGTTATGGGATGAAGTAACTTCCTATGTTTAATGTGTTATATAGATAATGGAGTTAAAAAAATAATTATAATTATATAATAAAATAGAATGTAGTAATTAGGATTGGGACAATCGGTTAAGAGCGTGAGGTAACACGAGTCCAGATAGAGTAGAGCTTTGCCACAAATCAATATTTAATTAGTGAATGTGTCTGTATAGTAAATGTTTGAATAGTCTAGCTGCCTTCCACGTGTTGGGCATATGCCCTTTTACTCACACCCAACAAGGATACAGATTGCCATTCATCATAACACAGTTTTCAAACTTCCTTATTTTCTCCCACTGGTTGGTTGGTATTAGGGTTTGTGTTGGCAACATAACAATTGCTGGGGGGGGGGGTGTATTTTTGTCTTACCGAACACAATATGTGGTCCCACCTCCATGGCTGAGATTATTAATCTCTATGATCTCAGCTAAACAAATGCTTTACCTTAGGAAAGCATTGGGAGGATTTTGTGCATGCGCAGCAAATGTGCCAATCCGCATCACCTCATAGAGATGAATTAAATTAATGAATCTTTATGAGGAACATTCAGCACCTCCATGCAGTGTTGGAGACACTGAACGTAAGTGCTGCATGTGGTGCAGCAGTGACCCAGGACTCTCTAGTGGCCACTTGAGTGACGGTCACTTGATGTGTTACTAAGTAGCAATGTAAACCCTGCCTTTTCGCTGAAAAGGCAGTGTTTATAATGAAAAGCCTGCAGGGACAGGCTATAGACACCAGAACAACTACATCAAGCTGTAGTGGTTCTGGTGACTATAGTGTCCTTTTAAGAATTGCATTTTCTCGTTGAAAATGACTGGCTCCTAACTTTTTTTAGCTGGCTCCTAGATTCCAAACAAATATATCAAGCCTTGGGGTAAGTAATTATTAGCTTCAATGCACACAATGTGCTGCACATAGGAATTCCAATTCCAGCACACACAGACACACTACATCCCCAACACACATACAGACACACTACATCCCTAGCACACATATAGAAACACCACATCCCCAGCACACACACCACATCTCCATCACATACACCACATCCCCAGCATATACACAACATTCCTAGCAAAAACACACGCTACATCCCTAGCACACAGACAAGCTACATCCCCAGCATTCACACACACACACTACTTTCCCAGCATACACACACACACCACATCTCCAGCACACACAGACACGCTACATCCCTAGCATACACACACAGACATGCTACATCCCTAGCACACACGGTACATCCCTAGCACACACACAGACACACACTACATCCCCAGCATGCATGCACACAGACACACACTCTGTGGGGATATTTATGGGATGATAATTTTAAGCAGTCGAGAATTGCCCACTATTTCAATTCTCTTAGATCTTAGAGATCGTTTATCATGTAAGTGAAAAGTATTCCATAAATAATTCACAATCTGTTATAAAAATAGATTTATTTTTATTGTAACAAATTAATTAATAATATTATTAGGCAACATGCATGATATTAATCAGTGAATATTTAGTATAACATAGTATGCAATACAATGGAATGGCTATACACGGTTCCAAAGGCTAAACAGCACCAGCTGTCACTTACACGATTTATGAGGTATCCTTACAGACACAGAAAGCGAACTTTTCACAGCGAAGAGCCATAAAACCCTTGCTAACAGTTAGATCAACTGAATAACCCTTTTAATGCTGGCTAGATCCTCCTAGGCATATAGTATCCTATTCTCCTGTGATTTTCAATTAAAATAACATTTGAACCAGCTCATTAGTCATTTCCTGGCACCATCCAATAAGAATAATCTACCAGATTTTTACAAAAACAAAACCGAATTTTTATTTGGTTAAAAGATATCTTATTTTATATTAGAGCAAATCAATACACCTGGATAAAAACAACGGTATGCTAACACGTGATACTATCACATTAATATATAATTATTCTTAATTCCACCTGCAGAATGGAATGTTTATAACTATATATTCTTTAGTTAACTAAGATTTCTAATATGGAAATCTGACCGTGATTTATCCAGTCATATATCATGCTATTAGTAAATTTTAATTAATTTAAATTAATTAAATGAAACCAGCATAATTACCAGTTATGTAGATATTCTCATCAGATGAGTAGGTAGTCCCAGAAACTTGATTGGTTGTATGGAGGTGCGTGAGTGATAGAAAAAGTATTAAAGAGTTTAAGAGTTTATGTCCAAGAGAGTTTAAGGGTAGAGTGTTAGTCCCAGATATTGTCCTGGATTTCTCTGCATGTCCGACTTGGATGCCCAAACTTCCAATTCCTCTCTCTCTCTCCATCCCCAACTACCCTGTCTTCCCTTTGTCCTAACTTTTAAAGGGCCAGACTCTCTGTACGTCATTAGTTGATAAACCAATAGGCAGCCGTAGGTGTGTCCAATCGATGGATCGCAATTTAGGTATTTGATCCATAGAGGGCAGTCTCGTCTAACGAAACCTTCCTATCCAGGAAAGAGTTAACTTTTCCTGATGACGATTTTGACGTCATTTGGCTTATCTAAAATGACTACCATAACTTAGATTTGCTGTCAGTTCAAAGCGTTTGTCCCAGTCTTTCTGGCATCTACTTTGATCGTAACTTGTAAAATTGACAGTTCTAAACTCAATTTCACCCCTTACTACAATGGTACCTTGTAAAATTTAGAAAGTAAAATTAATTAATGTCTTCTCTGTCACTAGTGTCTGTGTTTAGATAATTGCATCTATTAACATTTACATTTTAGACAGAGCGTTCCATCACCCTTGCTTCATTGCTTATCTTGGTTTGTTTATGTAATACATTCCTCAGCTCAAGCAAGTGGCTAGTTACTGAAAGTAAGAAGAAATCAAGGAAATTATGTGTTTTTGTTATCCTGAAGATAGCAAAATGGAGTCCGCTTTGTTCTGAGTGGCTGTGGCAATATACACTTTTAATTTCTTTTTAGCACAAAATGTCTGTTGATATAAATATTCTGACAACTCCCCAGCATGCACACACACAGACACACACTACATCCCCAGCATGCACACACACACTACATCCCCAGCATGCACACACACAGACACACTACATCCCCAGCACACACACACACACAGACACACTACATCCCCAACACACACACACTACATCCCCAACACACACACAGACACACTATACCCCCAGCACGCACACACAGGCACACTACATACCCAGCACACACTACATCCCTAGCATACTCACTGGCACACTACATCCCCAGCACACACACAGTCACAATACATCCCATGCACACACACAGACCCACTACATCCCCAGCATACACACACATCCCCAACACACACAGCACACACACTACATCCCCAGGACACACACAAGCACATACACACTGCATCCCCAGCACACACACTACATCCCAGACTAATGGCAAACATCCCACATGACAAATTAACTTGCTCCCCTTTGGTTTGTTATTAGTGATTGACATATATTGTACTACCACTGCAGAAGCATATATGTTGTGATGTTAAAGGACCACTATAGGCACCCAGAACACTTCAGCTTAATGAAGTGGTCTGGGTGCCAGGTCCAGCTAGGATTAACACTTTCTTCTATAAACATAGCAGTTTCAGAGAAACTGCTGTTTACATATGGGTTAATCCAGCCTCTAGTGGCTGTCTCACTGACAGCTGCTAGAGGCGCTTCCGCGCTTCTCACTGTGATTTTTACAGTGAGAAGACGCCAGCGTCCATAGGAAAGCATTGAGAATGCTTTCCTATGGACTGGCTGAATGCACGCGCGGCTCTTGCCGCGCATGCGCATTCAGCCGATGACAAAGAGAAGGAGGAGGAGAGTCCCCCGCCCAGCGCTGGAGAAAGAGGTAAATTTAACCCCTTCCACCCCCTAGAGCCCGGCGGGAGGGGGGCCCTGAGGGTGGGGGCACCCTCAGGGCACTATAGTGCCAGGAAAACGAGTATGTTTTCCTGGCACTATAGTGGTCCTTTAATTTAGTGTGCATTGATCTAAATATGTTATTGGAATGTATTTATCTGATTATGATATATTTCATTTTAGTTTTAATTATCATAATACAACATAATAATGTGGGCGTGTTTTGCTGGTGTCGTTTTGGGGGACCACGGCAGCAAATTGTCTTGGGCCGACCCTGGTATCTGGTTGTGTCATTGTATCTGCATGTGTGTCAGTGTGTGTATCTGTATGAGTGTATCATTGTTTGTATCAGTGTGTGTGTCAGTGCAACTGTGTGTTAGTGTTAGTGTGTGTTAGTGTTTGTATCTGTGTCTTTGTGTGATTTTTTTGGTTTCTGTATCTGTATGTAAGTCATTGTTTGTATCTGTGTGTCAGTATCTATATGTGTGTCAGAGTTTGTATCTGTGTGTCTGTATCTATATGTGTGTCAGAGTTTGTATCTGTGTGTCTGTATCTATATGTGTGTCAGACTTTGTATCTGTGTGTCTGTATATATATGTGTGTTAGAGTTTGTATCTGTGTATCTGCATGTATGTCAGTGTGTCGGTGTATCCACATGTATGTATCTGCACTGTGGGGAGCCTGGCATCGAGGAAGAGGTGGAGAGGATATGGCAGAGGAGAAGCAAGGGAGCCTAGAATAGAGAAAAGGGAAGATAGTGCAGAAAAAAAATATATATAAATTTAAAACAGCAACTATAATAATTATAAATATTTCGTAATATGAGGGGTACAATTTATGGAAATTTAGTTGACAAGGGGTACTCAAGCAAAAAAAGTTTGGGAACCACTGCCCTAGAGTATAATCACTAGCTCTTGTAAGAGCTGTTCTTGTTCCTGCTACACTCTCTGGAGGAAGAGAGGCCTGCCCACTGGAAACTGGATCCTGGCCTTGGGTCCAGGGTGGGAGAAGGACTTCGAGACCCCGGCGCAGCTGCATCGCTGGAAGTGGGGTCTGCAGTGCTGATGATGCTGGGTGGACTGCTGGAAGTCCTCGGCAAGCACTAGGAGCATCGATTGACGGAAGTACACGGTGGGAGTGCCATGCGGACCGTCACAGCGAATTTGCGTTGTATGCCTGTCGTATTTAATGCGCCATCGAATCTAATGCACATTAAAATTTTGGAGACTTTATTTTGCCAATAAAGGTCCGCTTTAGATTTGAGTAAATACAATAATCCATATCAGAAATACAATAATGCTTCATGTTCTGCTTGGTCCAGTTCCATCATTAGAAAACTGAAATTTTAAATAAATAAATTGAATTCTTTCATTAAGCACCATAATATTCACATAGTATTCTGTGCCTTCCAGACTGTATTTCACTGAAGACTGTCTTCAAGCAACGATACAGATATCTGTCTCCGTAATATGACAACAGGTACAATTGCATATTTGTTTAAATTTAATTAATGTGCCTTTTATTGTGAACTAATCTAACATAAAGGTGATGGGACTATTCTAGTTAATTAATATACTGCGAGAAAACATGAAAGTGAAGGTGTGTATGTATAAGGGTCATAAAGTATATATGTGCATGAGAAAGTGTTGGGGTCACAATTAGATTATTGATAGTGTTGAACAAGACATGGCATCTCATTAGTACGGGGGTGGAGTATCTGGGCCGAATTTAACTGGTGAGGTGTCAGGTGTGGTTTACAGAAATAGGGACAAAGACCAAGAGTAGTCTAGCACCCCCCCCACTCGTCCTCCTAAATAAAAATTTACCAGCTGCTGTGCTTGCTATAAAGGGGGGTGTTGGTGGGCAATATCTGTTTATTCTCATATGTTTCTATGTCTGATGTATATTTTTCAAAACGATAAATAGAACGCCTTGTGATAAAATAACAAGAAACATAACCTAATTATAGTGATAAGAAAAAAATAGAGTGATAAAATAAATCAGAGGGTGGTTCGTGGGTCAGGATGAGGGTGTTATGTTTCGCTCCATAATAGGAATATAGATGGGGTGTTGTGATCAGGGGGTGTTAATCAGACTAATGTGAGTTTTTGAAAATAAGATGTGATGAGCCGAGTAGAGCATATCTAATAACAGTACGCATAAGAGCATTGCAGGTCTGCTTACTCACCGAAATTTGAAATCAATAAATTATTCCATTAGGCATCTTGATATTCACGTAGTATTGGTTATTAACATTAAAACACACTGTGATTTCCATGATGTAAGCCATGTAATGACTGACTGATATTGAATGTTTCAGGCCATGGAGAACCCTGCGAATTTGAACAGAGCCTTTTCTGTCTGAATGGAGGGATTTGTTATAAGATAGCTTCTGTTTCTGGTCCATTCTGCAAGTGAGTGACCATTAGTTGTACTTGATCAGTTCAGTTTAACAGGTCAAACAGTTGTTGATAGCAGAAGAGAGCGGCATTTAATATTACTGCATGCTAAATACATACCACTCTAGGAACAATATATAGGGCGGAGCACATAAGATTCCATGGTCAAAACTGGGGGGACACTAATAATTTTGCTGCCATTGGCTGTCTGGAGCCAGCATGCTGTGTGTGCTGGCGTCAGACACCAAATTTGCATAGAATTCACAATAGCCACCTTGTTCTGGACTGTCTAATGCCATCTCTTTGTTTTGATATTTCAACTGTTTAGAAGATAACTCCCCTGTTTTCTACCTTTTTGTGGGATTGCATATCTACTAAACAGTGCCCTAATTTGGTATTCATCATTATAGAAATTCCATATTAGGGTACCAATTTAGGGAATTATCTACTAAACAGCTAAAAATATTTTCTTTAATAGATAACTTCCTTATTTGTTATCCTTATGTAGGATTGCCATAGTTAAGGATACCAGATTAGGGAGCTGTATACTAAACACATACACATTTTCATGCACACACAAGCACATACAAACATACACAATCAAAAACATATACACACCATCACACACACACACACACACACACACACATAACCACATACATGCACACATAATCATAGATGTACAACACACAATCATAGACCTACACACTATCACAGACACATAATCACAGACATACACACACAATCACATATACACACACACAATCATAGATACACACACACACAATCATGGACACATAATCACAGATATACACACACTATCACAGACACATACACACATTTTCGACTTATTTAAAGTCCTCCCAGCCTCTCCTGGTTGGCCATTGGTTGCCGGTAGGCACTCTCCCTGCACATGTTCCATATGTGCCGATGCTGGGATGATGTCAGACCTTGGCTACCAGCATGGCATGCAAGGGAGCTGAGCAGGGAGAACACAGAATGTACTTACTTCCCTCGCAAACCCCTTGATCAGACAACATTATATTTGTTCAGAGTATGTACCTTCTGCGTGGGTAGGCAGGCTCCTACTTTGCCAGATACAGTTAGTGATAGTAGCACTTGGTGGAGGGTGGGGGGGCACACCTAGGGGAATGAATAATTATTCCCCCTCACACCCCTGTGACGACGTCATAGATGCCAGGAGGACTTCTACTCTGTCTTACAACAGATAACATACACTGTCCTTACATGTCTGGTGTTATATACTGAGAACAATGTTTTGTGTGTTACTGTATCTAGGACTTATTGCATGCAGATTAGAAATAGCAATGGAATTAGTAGGCCATAAGATTTATCAAACATTGTGCAATTTGGCAGTGCATGTTCAATGCAGGTTCAGAATCATATATGCAAACATTTTGGCTGCCATTTCATCTATCATAAGACACTCGTACACTGATTATCTAATACGCCCTTGGCTTCTGGTTTCATTTAAGTTTCTAAAAACGTTTCTCTTTTGAAGGAATACTCCAGACACCATTACTACAATATACATACATAAATCAGGTGGAGCTTCTTAGAAAAACAATGTAACAGATATTCTGTAAAATAGAATATAAACCATAGTGCAATACAGTAATATAAATAAAGTAAAGGTATGTATGCAGTAGGTATTCCACTCACAAGCCTGGAGTCATAATCTCATATGACTCAGATGGTGTGTGCCTTTGGACCAATTCAGGATGTCCAGATCCTTCTTTCTTGCAGGATTCCGTCTGTAATCACCTTTAACCAACTTTCAGACCAAAAATGTCAGGTCAGCGTTAGGTTTCTAAAAGGATGGTGCTTTATTTAAAGTAGAAATAAAACTTTTAAAAGAAATTAACATTTAAAATCAAGTAAAATATAACAGCTTTAAATGGGGCTATATAGTCCTTAATAATTGCCAAAACGCGTTTCGCCCGGTATAACAGGCTTCCTCAGTCGGCTAAAATGTCCACTGTTTAGTCTTCTCAGCTTTTTAAAAAGTCCGCTCATTTTTACTTCCGGGTTCCGGTTCTCGTCTCGGTGGAACGCAATTATGCGTTCCAATGATGTCACTTCCTGTTTCATCACTTCCGGATTGATACATTATTCGGTTGGAACGCATCGTGCGTTCCAGTAGTGCTATTTTCTGTTTCGTCACTTCCGGTTTTCAATCTCGGCCAGTTGGAACGCACAATGCGTTCCACCGGCATCCTCTTTCAGTATTACTATTATTTTACAATCGATCCACATGATTTACAACTTTATAAGTATATTTCCACACATTCATGTGTATATACTAATATACTTTGCTAGTGTATCAATAATATCACCATAGAACTTTGTATTAAACCCCCTTTCACATACATTAATAAATTTTGCATATATACTAAAAATATCCAGTCTATCTTTTGTAATAAAAGATGGTGTAGATCTCTTTGAATATTTATGCAATATGCAAAACATTTTTCCTTAAAGTGCTTTTATAAGGGGAGCGATATGTATATTTTAAGGTGCTCTTACATTATAAAGGTGGTATAAATATTTTCCCTTAAAGTGCCTTTGTACATTAAAGTGCTCTTTTACATTTTCCTTTTAAGTGCTTTTTGTGATGCTTTTTAAGCCTCCACAATAATATTCAAGAATATGCCATTTCAAAAACTAGAAAAAAATGGGGTTTAAAAATAGTAATTACCTTTTTAAAATTATTTGAGTTGAACAAAATATACCTACTCAGAATAATAAAAAATAATAGGATATATGATATAGGAAAATTCAGTTCATGAAATGGCATAATTCAAAATCTTGGTTTAAACCATGAGGTGCCATAGTGTTAAAGTTAAAAATAAATCTCATTTCTTCTATTCCTATTTTCCTAATGTAATCTCCTCCTCTCCAGTCTTTTTTTACCAATTTTATTGCACAAAAGAACAGTCCTTTGGGATATTGGTTATGGAATATCTTAAAATGGTTGGAGACGCTATGTGACTCCAATCCATTCTTTATATTCCTCGTATGTTCTGCTATTCTCGTATTTAAGCATCTAATAGTTCTCCCTACATATAGGAGATTACACTGACACTTCAGGACATAAATGACCCCTTTAGAATGGCAAGTTAGGTGGTCTCGAATTTGAAAATTTTGGTTTATCCAAGGTTTCATATCTATTATATGGCGCTTCCTGCTTTTGGTATTTCTGCATGCTAGGCATTGGCCGCAACCATAAAAACCTTTATTTTGCCTTAGGAAATTTTTTTCCACTAAAATTTGTTTATCACTACTTTGTACTAAAGTGCTTTTTAAGTTTTTTGCTCCCCTATAAATGATCCTAGGTCTTTCTGACAAAATATTTTTTAAGATTGGATCATCTTGCAAGATGTGCCAATATTTGTTTATAATTTTATTGACTTTTTTGTGATTCCCATTAAAATCACAAATAAATGGGACATCATTGTTCCATTTTTGTTTCCCCTTTTTATCTTTGTATATTAGAAGGTTCTTTCTAGGTATTATACGAACATCTTCTAGAGAGGCCTGTAGCTCTGTTTCTGCATATCCTTTTTGTAAAAATTGAGTCTTTATCTTTCCTGCCTGTAATAAATAGTCCTCATCATTGGTGCAATTGCGCCTAATTCTTAAAAACTGTCCTCTAGGTGCATTTTTTAGCCAGGGTGTGTAATGACAGCTCTCTTTCCGGATGTATCCATTTGCATCCACTTCTTTGAAATGATTCTTTGTGGTGATGCAGGTATTCGTGATATTAATGTCGAGATCTAAAAAATTTATACTTTCCTCACTTACTTGCGCCGTTAAAACAATGTTCCGATCATTCTTATTTAAAAAGGTGATAAAAACATCTAACTCTGTCCTAGTTCCTGTCCAGATAAAAAATATGTCATCGATGAAACGACGATAGCACACCAAGTCCGCTACCCAGGCATGTCCCCCATATACAAACTTCTCTTCCCAATACGCCATGAATAGGTTCGCATAACTGGGAGCGAACTTGGTGCCCATCGCCGTTCCCCGGATTTGGAGGTAAAAAACATCTTGAAACCAAAAAAAAATATTAGTTAAAATCAGGTGGATACCTTCTAAAATATTTAGAATCTGTTCCTCTTTAAAATTGTGTTTCCTTAAAAAATGTTGCACAGCTTCCAATCCGATCTTGTGTGGTATAATGCTATAAAGGGAGGTTACATCACACGTAACCAAAAAATTACCCTTTTTCCAAGTAGTTTCTTCTAGCAGCTTCAAAATGTGTATAGTGTCTTTTAGAAAAGCGGGATTGCATATGACTAGAGGTTGCAATAATTTATCTAAGTATTCTGATACCTTCGCTGAGACGGAATCAATCCCGGATATTATTGGTCTACCAGGTGGATTTCTCCTATCTTTATGTACCTTTGGTAAATGATAATAAACCGGAGTTTTAGGGTGTGGAGTAGACAAATACTTGGCTTCATCTATTGTTAATATTTCCTTTTCTAAACCTTTCTTAATATATTCATCAAATTTCTTTTTTATCTCCTCGATTGGATTTCGGTCCAACTTTTGATATGTAAGAGGGTCAGACAAAATTCGTTCCGCTTCTTGCACATAGCTCGACCTTGAGGCTATAACAACCCCCCCCCCCCTTATCTGCTGGTTTAATAACCATCTCTCTATTTTGTTTCAATTTCTTGACCACATTCTTTTCTTTATTCGACATATTGTATTGGTATTTATTCAGTGGCCTAATTTGTCTTATTTCTTTCATGACCATTAATGCAATCCCGCTTATCTAAAAGACACTATACACATTTTGAAGCTGCTAGAAGAAACTACTTGGAAAAAGGGTAATTTTTTGGTTACGTGTGACGTAACCTCCCTTTATAGCATTATACCACACAAGATCGGATTGGAAGCTGTGCAACATTTTTTAAGGAAACACAATTTTAAAGAGGAACAGATTCTATATATTTTAGAAGGTATCCACCTGATTTTAACTAATAATTTTTTTTGGTTTCAAGATGTTTTTTACCTCCAAATCCGGGGAACGGCGATGGGCACCAAGTTCGCTCCCAGTTATGCGAACCTATTCATGGCGTATTGGGAAGAGAAGTTTGTATATGGGGGACATGCCTGGGTAGCGGACTTGGTGTGCTATCGTCGTTTCATCGATGACATATTTTTTATCTGGACAGGAACTAGGACAGAGTTAGATGTTTTTATCACCTTTTTAAATAAGAATGATTGGAACATTGTTTTAACGGCGCAAGTAAGTGAGGAAAGTATAAATTTTTTAGATCTCGACATTAATATCACGAATACCTGCATCACCACAAAGAATCATTTCAAAGAAGTGGATGCAAATGGATACATCCGGAAAGAGAGCTGTCATTACACACCCTGGCTAAAAAATGCACCTAGAGGACAGTTTTTAAGAATTAGGCGCAATTGCACCAATGATGAGGACTATTTATTACAGGCAGGAAAGATAAAGACTCAATTTTTACAAAAAGGATATGCAGAAATAGAGCTACAGGCCTCTCTAGAAGATGTTCGTATAATACCTAGAAAGAACCTTCTAATATACAAAGATAAAAAGGGGAAACAAAAATGGAACAATGATGTCCCATTTATTTGTGATTTTAAGGGGAATCACAAAAAAGTCAATAAAATTATAAACAAATATTGGCACATCTTGCAAGATGATCCAATCTTAAAAAATATTTTGTCAGAAAGACCTAGGATCATTTATAGGGGAGCAAAAAACTTAAAAAGCACTTTAGTACAAAGTAGTGATAAACAAATTTTAGTGGAAAAAAATTTCCTAAGGCAAAATAAAGGTTTTTATGGTTGCGGCCAATGCCTAGCATGCAGAAATACCAAAAGCAGGAAGCGCCATATAATAGATATGAAACCTTGGATAAACCAAAAATTTCAAATTCGAGACCACCTAACTTGCCATTCTAAAGGGGTCATTTATGTCCTGAAGTGTCAGTGTAATCTCCTATATGTAGGGAGAACTATTAGATGCTTAAATACGAGAATAGCAGAACATACGAGGAATATAAAGAATGGATTGGAGTCACATAGCGTCTCCAACCATTTTAAGATATTCCATAACCAAGATCCCAAAGGACTGTTCTTTTGTGCAATAAAATTGGTAAAAAAAGACTGGAGAGGAGGAGATTACATTAGGAAAATAGGAATAGAAGAAATGAGATTTATTTTTAACTTTAACACTATGGCACCTCATGGTTTAAACCAAGATTTTGAATTATGCCATTTCATGAACTGAATTTTCCTACATCATATATCCTATTATTTTTTATTATTCTGAGTAGGTATATTTTGTTCAACTCAAATAATTTTAAAAAGGTAATTACTATTTTTAAACCCCATTTTTTTCTAGTTTTTGAAATGGCATATTCTTGAATATTATTGTGGAGGCTTAAAAAGCATCACAAAAAGCACTTAAAAGGAAAATGTAAAAGAGCACTTTAATGTACAAAGGCACTTTAAGGGAAAATATTTATACCACCTTTATAATGTAAGAGCACCTTAAAATATACATATCGCTCCCCTTATAAAAGCACTTTAAGGAAAAATGTTTTGCATATTGCATAAATATTCAAAGAGATCTACACCATCTTTTATTACAAAAGATAGACTGGATATTTTTAGTATATATGCAAAATTTATTAATGTATGTGAAAGGGGGTTTAATACAAAGTTCTATGGTGATATTATTGATACACTAGCAAAGTATATTAGTATATACACATGAATGTGTGGAAATATACTTATAAAGTTGTAAATCATGTGGATCGATTGTAAAATAATAGTAATACTGAAAGAGGATGCCGGTGGAACGCATTGTGCGTTCCAACTGGCCGAGATTGAAAACCGGAAGTGACGAAACAGAAGATAGCACGATTGGAACGCACGATGCGTTCCAACCGAATAATGTATCAATCCGGAAGTGATGAAACAGGAAGTGACATCATTGGAACGCATAATTGCGTTCCACCGAGACGAGAACCGGAACCCGGAAGTAAAAATGAGCGGACTTTTTAAAAAGCTGAGAAGACTAAACAGTGGACATTTTAGCCGACTGAGGAAGCCTGTTATACCGGGCGAAACGCGTTTTGGCAATTATTAAGGACTATATAGCCCCATTTAAAGCTGTTATATTTTACTTGATTTTAAATGTTAATTTCTTTTAAAAGTTTTATTTCTACTTTAAATAAAGCACCATCCTTTTAGAAACCTAACGCTGACCTGACATTTTTGGTCTGAAAGTTGGTTAAAGGTGATTACAGACGGAATCCTGCAAGAAAGAAGGATCTGGACATCCTGAATTGGTCCAAAGGCACACACCATCTGAGTCATATGAGATTATGACTCCAGGCTTGTGAGTGGAATACCTACTGCATACATACCTTTACTTTATTTATATTACTGTATTGCACTATGGTTTATATTCTATTTTACAGAATATCTGTTACATTGTTTTTCTAAGAAGCTCCACCTGATTTATGTATGTATATTGTCTATTTTAAAGTGGTAGAGGGGATTCCACTTTGAGGTGTATAGAGCTTCGTATTGATTATCCTCCACCCTGTGCACATATTTGTTATATTACCATTACTACAATAGCGTGCTGTATTGTTGTGATGAAAGGAGTGCCTTGACGCTTCCCTAATGTAAGTAGACTGACTACTTACCTGGGGTTTGCTGTGGGACACTCCATGTTTCCTCTGGTTCAATTAGATCTTTTGAACTAAGCCCTGTAGATGGCCTCACTTTAAAAAAAAGCCACCTTCTTGTCATCCAATGAAAATCAAGCGTGATGATCTCTAGTCCAATCCAATGGTTCTCATAGAGGAACATTATCAATCTACAGCACACATGAAGCAGCCAATTAGATCTCTTTGAGAACCACGGAATCTAGCGTTCATCTACGAGTAGACGTAGCCAGATTAGGCATCATCATGCTGTGCGGGATGACGCTGAATGTGAAGACCTTTGAACATCAAAGGATATCAGCAGGAAGCAGCTCTACTGGCATGTTTTAAGCCAAATGCAAATATTGCCATTTCTTAGAAATGGCAGCAGTTTATTTTATCCCAGAAAAGGGTCAACATCTATGTGCTAAACCACTACACTACAGATGAGTGGTTTTGGTGCTTAGAGTGTCCTTTTAAAGGTGCAGTCTGTGTACCATAATCACTATGTTCCGACGTGGCTTCCAGCACCATTGATGGTAATTGGTCAAAATTGAAGGTCCGTAGGCATCTTCACCTTGAGCCCCTGCTCAGCTCAGCTAATGTAAAAGTTTCACTTCAGCAAAATCAGTTTCATCCATAGTTTACATTCACTCATTGGCTGAATGTGAAAATGGTTTGACTATGAACCAGGGGATGATCCAGCATCTTTAATGCACCATAACAACTACATCAGCATGTAGTGATTATAGTACCCGTCTATTGAATTATTTGATAATTCCATGTTGTTCCATTTATAATTTATAAATATGAATATCAGTCATTGGTGTTAATTTGGACATCATTACTTATTTTGTGTGATGTTTTCCTGACAGATGCATTGGAAAATACACAGGCACCCGTTGTGAAGGAGTGTTTCTAGCTGCGGAAAAACAACAGCCCAAAAGTGAATATTTGGTCAATATCCTGGTTTTTGCTGTTTTCTTAGGGCTACTGTTTATAGGTTTAATCTGCTTTCTCTGCAGGTAAGCACGGAGCGTTAGCAGTGATCTATGTCCACGTGCAAAACAAACATACACGGTACAAACAAAACTCATTAATACAATGATCTGTTGGCCTTGGTAGATTGTCCTCTGTGCAAACTTTTCATATTTGGAGATATCTTATTGACACATATTTATCACTAGAAAAAGTAGTTGGCACTTCTTAGCATACTGTAAATTTAGAAAACCAACAAGATTTTTTTCCCTGTGATAAGACCACCAAAAAATCAAATGTGTTTGGACTGAGTTCCACAAATCCATGATTTAGTGTTACTCATTAAAGGACCACTATAGTGCCAGGAAAACAAACTTGTTTTCCTGGCACTATAGGGTCTTTGGGTCCCCCCCACCCTCAGGGTCCCACTCCCGCCGGGCTGAAGGGGGAGGAAGGGGTTAATAACTTACCTTTCTCCATCGCCGGGCTCCCTCTGTGCTGGGGAACTCTCCTCCCTCTTCCGACGTCAGCGCTGAATGCGCATGCACGGCAAGAGCCGCACGCGCATTCAAACCGCCCATAGGAAAGCATTACTCATTACGGCAGCGTCTTCTCCCTGTGATTTCCACAGTGAGAAGTGCGGAAGTGCCTCTAGTGGCTGTCAATGAGACAGCCACTAGAGGCTGGATTAACCCTAGTGTAAACATAGCAGTTTAAAGAATGAGCACAACCACTCCGCCTATCAAAAAAAAAATCATAAAGCAGGGATTGAAATTATAAACCCCTGCAACTAATCTGCATTAAGTAATAATCCAAAAAAAATAAAAAATCACAACTATTGCCTTACAAGCTGCGTTTACATCTAGGCTACTCCCTACGTAGTAATTTGGCATCAATTTTTTTTGAACTATTAAACAATGGGCATCCAATTCAGATGCCCAACTAGAGATTTAATGGGTCACTTAAAAACTCACCTCTAGGGGCATCGTGAGTATGTATGAGGTGTTCTCAGGCTGGACAGATGTCACAAATGACCTCAATTCTACACATGCCCAGCTTCTCTCAACCGCTTATTAAACAGCGATCGTCAAACAGTGAGTCCGTTTGTGCTGTAGTGGATGAAGGGGAGGGAAAATGTTAGTATTGCAGTACTCTATGGTGTATTTGTAAGCTACCCTTTCCCAAAATGAAATCACGTCAGAAGTTTTCACTTTCACCACTGGCAATAGATTCATTTTTTTTTTTTTTTTATCAACACTAATCTGGTGGGTTGTGGACGAGCCACCCCTGTATAACAGTCTATTGCTAAAATTATAAAAAAAACCTTGCATTAAGATATCTAATCTTTATTTACCTACTACTACTGGAATAATAGGCCTCCCCAATATTGTAATAAGTAAAAAAACTACAATTTTAGCACAGGCACTTCGCGCCCCTTCCTTTAGTGGTTAGTGTGGATGAATACATTGTACAGCGCCGCGGAAAATGTTGGCGCTTTATAAATACAACTTCTACATTTATATATTTCATATTTATATAGCACTGTGCAAACTTTTTAGGCAGGTGCGAAAAAATCCAGTAAACTTAGATGCTTACAAAAACAGAAATGTTAATAGATGATTTTTTTTTTTTTGATCAATTAATAAAATGCAAAGTGAGTGAACAGAAAAACAACATTTTTTATTTTTATTTATAAAACATTAGACGAAAATTGAACAATCGTAGTGAAGATGTACCATAACAGATAACCATGGCATCCAGCATAGATCCATAATAATCCAAGGTAAGTCCGGTGGTTTACAGCCTTTCATTATTTGTTATTTGGTAGATGTACAAGCTCAGTTTGGGTAGGGAAGGGTCTGATCCTTGCTGGGTGAGATATTTCGCACTTCAGCCACTTGCTTTTTGTGAGTGGTTTTCAATTGTCTTTTTTTTTGTTGCATAATTGTTTTAAACATATTGATTTGCACTACGTATGGTTTATAATTTATTTTTAGATTACTTTTGTCAGAATTTTGGAAAAAAATAAAAAATATATATATATAATTTTTGCGCACCATTTGTACTTTTATTAATAAAGTGGATTTGTCACTTTCGGGGGTCTTTGCATATTACTCAAAGACCCGCGAGACTGACAGATCTGATGTGTGTCCAGTGGCCGGGGGTACAGGGAAGGGGAGTTTTGCTTACCTCAGGCTGTCCCTCACGGCCGCAAATATTTTTATCCTGCAACTCCATTAGTGCTGTACTCTCATGCATGCACGACCATACAACCATGAGGTCTATGGATGATTGCGCAAGACCTCCATAAACCTCGCCGTTATACTGTCTTTTTCTCTCCTTTTCTTGTGCTCCTGCATTGAAAGTTGCAACCTTGGGATAGGATTCATTTGATATATGTTTAAGTATTGTGTGTAAAGCAGGGGTGTCCAAAAGGTAGATCCCCAAAATATTTAAAACTACCTCTCCCATGATGCTTTGCCATTCTAAAGCATTCTAAAGGCATGCAAAGCATCATGGGAGTTGTAGTTCTACAACATCTGGGGATCTACCTATTGGGCATCCCTGGTGTAAAGTGTAGCATGGACATACTATTCCCATGCTAATTATGTATATACATTTCTTTTCTAGAGTTCTGAAGAGGTTGGACACTTTACGGATGTTGGATCCCTGGCCACTATTTCAGTCGAACAGACATAATACAAGAGACATTGTAACATTATAATGGGTTCTGACTTGTTGCATGCCGATTTGGGAACTTCATTTGCCTATAAATCTAGCTGCTATGCTCTTTGGGAAGCTGTCATGAAACATCTGCGGTACAATCTGGGATTGGTCATTTGAATTAAACTTTTTTTCCCAAAATGCAACCAAACAAATCTATTAATATTCAGTAGATTCTGGAATCTTCAAGAATAAGATTTTGCAATAAATCTGAACATGTTAAGATCATTGAATGCCAGTGATCTAGAATAGTATGTAGGGTGCTGTTCTAATCTAGTGCACAACTTGCTTACGGATTGTGCTGTAGTTTATGTAGATTCGATGCTGGTGCCAGGCCTACGCTATAATAAAGCCCGTAGGAGTTTCAGGCAAACAGGAGACCATGTAAAATAGCTTCTTGAATTAGTACCTCCAGTAGGGCCATTATAGCCAAACAAGCCAAGCGCATTTCATATCTTTATATATCTAGTACAGCAATTAGACTCAGGCTGTAGCCATGATGGGACTTCAATATTGGTTGTTAGCATCTTAAAATAATTAAGTACTTAATAAAATCGCAGTGTAAATTGTCAAGCCTATTATTGTGGTGGTGGTGTTTAACAAAGTATTTTGTATTTCTTTGTTTATTCATAATAGTTCATCATTGTTGCATTTTATTTGGCCATGTATGGAGACCAAAACCAACTCTCCAGATGACCAATTATCAGATCTTCAGTAATGCTAGAGGTCATTTTCAACTGTAACAAAATGCAGTATGCAAAAAAAAAGCTTCAGTAGTTGAAAATGTCAGTGGCCCCTATTGTATTCAGGAAGGAAGTACTGCTACAGCAAATAACTTCACAATCTAGCGCCAAGGTAAGTTCTCCTTGCCGCCTGATCCTCCTAAACTCACTTCACTGACCTTCGTTTAGGGGGGTCAGATGTCAGAGATGGCAGGCTGAGTGAAGGACACGGAGAGGCCATTGGCCGTCTGACACCAACATTATGTGGGTGCTAGAATCAGATGCCAAATATAAAGCACTTAATTGACATTAACCACACCAGAACTCTTGTTCCTGGCTTGCAAATGACGCTCAATGACATGGTCAGGGGTGGAGTTACACCTCAGGCTGAAGAGGGGTTAAATTCAGTATGTGCATTTCATAGTGAACCGCTGCACAAGCAGAGTCTAGGCACCATGACCACTTCAAATTAGTGAAATGGTCTTTGTGCTTAGAGTAAAACTTTAACATGGGCAGGTGCCGGACACATGACGAATTTTGGGTCCCATGCCAGAGCTGAACAGTCATTGCTTAAGTTGCATTGTCTTTCCAATTCAACAAGGACATAATTTTCTCTAACCTAATGGTGGTATTTGGTTAAAATTATATTAGTAAATAACACAGTGGGCTAACCATGTGGATTCTATTTACATTGTTTGAGTAGCAAGATAAAACTGGCATGTGTTTTGGATGGTGTTAAAGCACAGAACAGAAACTGTACAATTCAATGCTGCTTTCCCACTACTTGTCCTAAGACAATTGCCTCAGGGCAGTGAATGGTTGAACATAGTACAGTCGTAATTATACAATGTGTAGCAAAGCTGCAATCCTGAGACCAAATATCTCTGTCGAAATCCTTCTAACTGGAACAAAGCGCTGCGTAGTGAATATAGTCCATTACCCCAGTAACTGGATGACACAGTTCTGGGAGTACAACCGATTTAATTGTGCCAAAAATCGGCCTTTTATGCACAGACCCCAGCATAGGGTTTCCATTCAATACAGATAATCCCCGCCCATGCATCTCTGTGTCCGGGAGATAAATGAGTCAAAGATCGGAAAGTTAATTATCATCCGGATACAGAGAGCTGAACACAAAAAAAAAAAAAAAAAACACCCCCCAAAAAAGTTAAAACACAGGAACCCCACATGCCATACATCCATGGATAGCCCTTGTTTGAGCGCAAAAGTTATCCAAATAGCTGCCAGATCCATAAGGAATTGTCCAATCGCCACTGGGAAAAGTTTTGACTGGCCACACACGTGGGCGAAGCCCAAAATAGTTCCAGAGCAAAAGTGATCTTGGCCAGTCAAATATCGTCAGTTCCTGCAGTCACATAAATAGGTGCTCTCCTGGCTCTTAGGGAGCGATTGTTCCTCATAGTACCTTACCTCAAATTAGCGCTCCTGGCATGTTGATAAATGGGGCAAAACAGTGAAACAGAACGGTAACCGCGTAGTTAAGTGGCCAAATATAGTTCCAGGGCATTCAAAGCTAAGTACTACTTTGAGTGTTTGGGAAAACAAAATGGCTACCATCTACCAGGAAGAGTACTCTGTACTACATTCAGTAGAGGGAAGGTACCGAACCAGGGAGAGCACAGTTTGATCAGGGAAATCAAAGTGGAATATGGGCAACCGAACAAGTATAGGACAGGGTCCGCTGCACACTGGTTCTTTTTTTTTTTACTCAGAAAACATTGTAATGTGCTCACGTAGGAATTGCTTTTAAAAATCTGCCAAACACACCAACAGTCTTCACTTCCCGTCTCTATATTGAGAGTGAAGCAGGGAAGACTGTTATGGAGCGCCTGTACCCAGAGTGATACCTCCATTGTAGATTCTCCCAGATCCCGTAGTGAAGCCGTGATTATAACGCCCGCATACCCAAACATCAGTCGAGACTTGAGGAAGGGTACAAGAACTGTTTTATTCAGCAATACGTACATATATTTATACCCAGACCCCCAGCATGGGATCTTAAGCCAGCCCAGGCGGCTCTGTGTCTGGGAGATAATAGAGTTGATAACTTGTAAACAAATTATCTCCTGGATATAGAGAGCGAAACATAGAAATACCCCCAAAACATCCATCAAACAGTAAGGTACCAAGGTACCCCCCAAACTTCATACATCATTTTAAAGAGCATATCCGAGCACCCATTCTGGGACAATAGTTCTCGAATCCATGTAGAATTGTCCAAAGGCCACACAGTCAAAGTTGCAGTGATTTACCGGGCGCAATAGCTCCTCGTGGAAAGGAGTTTCCTGACGGTTTCGGTGAGTTATTGTTCATTTCTATGGATAGAAGTTTCCCTCCCAAAAAAACAAAACAAAACAAAAAAAATCGCTTTTCTGGGTCGCAGGGAAAGTGATGAAATAGAAGGTGCAAGATGACTAGGAAATCCTAAAACTCAGGCCCGGGCCGGAGTTCTAGAGCAGGTTTATGTTTGTCCCGCTGGACACTCCCGCTCTCAGTGAGGGTCCAAAGAGTCAGGAAGGGAAGGAGCTTAGTGGATTATAGTCTTTAAGGACTTCATCACAAAGACCATAGAGATTGCCCCTTTTCAAACACTGTCTGACCCACAGTGTATATGGTTGAAGAATCCAGTCATATACTAAAGGTTTATTTATTTTTTAACATATACTGCATTAAAAAAAAAAAAAAAAAAGTTAATTTCATTTAAAAACTTGATGAAAGGACTATATACAAATATATTTTTGAAGTGATAGTTGTCAAATGCTACAAGCACTAACTCTCCATTCCATTTTTCCAACATTGCTGCTCAATCTGCTTACAGGAACAACTTTCAAAACAGATTTTGGTATGTGACAGCGTGTTTGCAGTTTTATCTGCAGGATCTTAAAAGACATTTCTCTTTTAAAAAAATTGCCAAGTGATGAGCCTAGTTTCAATTTAATGGTCTACTACTCGTTTGTTTTAAAAAATCTTTTTTATTTAAAAAGTATCCTTGAGACAAAAGAGATGAAACCAGGTGGGAGTTACAAAAAAAAAAAAAATAGTAACCTCCATGAGTTGAAGAGCCTGGTAGGTAAATTAAGAGACTCTCTCTAAACGCAACACCAAATTCATCATGTATTGATGTGCTATATGACGTAGTGAGAAGGTGACTGTGTGTTGGGGGGAATCATGTTAAAGAGATCACGAGAGGTTTACTTTTAACATATCTTTATATTAGTGTATTTAATATTAACAGGCACATAATTTTATATCACCATGTGAATACATTACTTAAAGGCATAAATACCAGTTAACTCCTAGTAAACATTTATACACATTCTTCGTGTTAATTGAAGGGGGGTATGAGCCTACAACAAATCCAGCATTTTTCAAGGAATTCTCCTTAACAAATTAGCCCTTTGCCTGGAAGTTTATAAAGAGTGAAGAGAACAGAGAATCAAAAAAAAACAACAAAAAAAACCCCGTAAAAAGATAAGTGATGTTTAAATGGCCGGTATTAGAAATAAACCACAGACAATTACAATAGAATTGCAGGATTGTGATCATTATACAGTTGCTAGAAGTCCTGCAAATTTAGAGTTGTAGCTGGGAGAGACAGATACGTTTATAATCGAATATGAATCTTGATTGGCAAAACAAAAAAACAGCAGTCACAATATAAGCTGAATTGAAATCGACATTGATGACCAGAAAATCCAAGTGTGGATGAATCGATTGCTGTCCCAAGTCTGCTGTTCAATCAAAGCAAAAATAGGAATGTTGTAGAACTCTTTCATAGATGCTTCAATGCCTAAAAATAGAATTCTACATACACAGAGAACTTATTCTGAGGCGTTATTGTTACTTGTATTCAGTGGCGTCTCTAGGATTCATTTTTCGGGGGGGCACATGGAGGGCCAGTGACAAAAGTAGGGGGGCACATTTAACCCCGCCCTTGCCGCAGTTTGACCCCGCCCCTGTTGCATGTTAAGCCAATGTGTTTTTTTTTTTTAATAATACCTGGTGGAGGATTCATTATTTTCCACCAGGGATTATTAAAAAAACAAACACATTATCCTTGATACAGTGCCATAGTTGCCAACATTTGAAAAAAAAATTCCAAGGACATTTTGCAGCACAGCTATCAATTACTGTCTGGGTATAATATCCCTGGACAGTCAGTGCTCTCTGTAAAATACAGGGTTGTGTGTATAATAAATTGGGACACTCAGTGCTCCCTGTATAGTGCTGCTCTCTGTATAATACAGGTCTGTTTGTGTATAATATCCCAAGACAGAGAGCAGCACTATACAGGAAGCACTGACTATCCCGGGATATTATACAGGCACAGGCCTGTATTATACAGAGAGCAGCACTATACAGGAAGCACTGACTATCTCGGGATATTTTATACACACAGATTTGTATTATACAGATAGCTGAGCATATACCCCATGTCCCAATCTCTAGACTACTAGTACCTGTCAACAGCAGCTCCCGGACGCGTGTAACAGGGCTAAAGTGTGCGGCAGCTCACACAGATTATTCAGCGGTAAAGTGCACTCGCTGGCAGAGCCAAACTGGGAATCCCTGGGAATCCAAAGCAGCCCTGGAAAAAAAACGTATGCCATTCCTACAAGTCAAAATATATATATATATATATATATATATTACAGTAAGCACACAAGCTCACTGACATGCGCAAATAGGCTTACTGACAGACAAAACTCTCTGACTCACACACAAGCTTACTGCAGACACTCAATTGTATAAACAGAAGGCTCACTACAAAGAAGTTCAGGGACACACACACAAGCTCACTGACACACACATGCTCACTAAATAGAAGCTCACTGACACACACAAGCAGTACCATTTTAACCATTAAGGCCCCTGGGCAAAGCAATGCACTGGAGCCCTTCCTACACAACTCACAGGAATTTTAATTATTGATAGACTGCTGTGTCCATACACACACACACACACAGACTGCTGAGTCCATACACACACACAGACTCTGCTGAGTCCATACACACACACACACACACACACACAGACTCTGCTGAGTCCATACACACACACACAGACTCTGCTGAGTCCATACACAAACACACACTCTGCTGATTCCATACACAAACACACAAAGACTGCTGAGTCCATACACACACACACAGACTCTGCTGAGTCCGTACACACACACAGACTGCTGAGTCCGTACACACACACAGACTCTGCACACACAGACTCTGCTGAGTCCGTACACACACTCTACTGAGTACACACACACACACACTCTGCTGAGTCCATACACACAAACACACACACACACACTCTGCTGAGTCCATACACACACACAGACTCTGCTGAGTCCGTACACACACACAGACTCTGCTGAGTCCGTACACACACACAGACTCTGCTGAGTCCGTACACACACACAGACTCTGCTGAGTCCGTACACACACACACAGACTCTGCTGAGTCCGTACACACACACACAGACTCTGCTGAGTCCGTACACACACACACAGACTGCCGAGTCCATACACAAACAAACTGCTGAGTCCATAAACACACACACACACAGACTGCTGAGTCCATACACACACACACACACACAGACTGCTGAGTCCATACACACAGACTGCTGAGTCCATACACACACAGACTGCTGAGTCCATACACACACACACAGACTGCTGAGTCCCACACACACACACACACACACAGACTGCTGAGTCCATACACACACAGACTGCTGAGTCCATACACACACACAGACTGCTGAGTCCATACACACACACACACACACACACACAGACTGCTGAGTCCATACAGTGTGTGTGTATGGGGATAGTGTATGTGTGTAGAGTGTATGTGTGTAGAGTGTATGTGTATGGGGGGGCAGAGTGTGTGTATGGGGGGCAGTGTGTGGGGCAATGTGTGTGTATGGGGCAGTATGTATGTATGTATGGGGGCAGTATGGGGGCAAAGTGAGTGTGTATGGGGCAGTGTGTGTCAATGGAGAGCAGTATGGGGGCAATGTGTGTCTATGAGGAGCAGTATGGGGGGCAATGTGTGTCTATGGGGAGCAGTATGGGGGGCAATGTATGTGTATGGGGGGCAGTGTGTGTGTGTATGGGGCAGTGTGTGTGTGTATGGGGGTGTGTGTGTATGGGGGCAGTGTGTGTGTGTATGGGGCAGTATGGGGGCAGTGTGTGTGTGTGTATGGGGCAGTGTGTGTTTATAGGGCAGTATAGGGGGCAGTGTGTGTATGGGGCGCAATGTGTGTGTATGGGGCAGTATGGGGGGCAGTGTGTGTTTATGGGGCAGTATGGGGTCAAATGTGTGTGTGAACACCCCCCCCCCAGCCTACCTGTCACTGGAGGATGTTGCTGGGGGTCAGGCAGCCATCTTCTGCAGCAGCATGGGCTGCAGCATTACGGCGGGGGCGGGGCTTATCGGCAGGAGGCGGGGCTTCGTTTGGGGGCAGATCCTGTGCCGGGGAGCCAATCAGTGCTCCCTCCGGCCACAGACAGCCCCCAGCACCTCTCTCCTGCATTTCCTCGGGCTGTGACAGGCTGTTACAGTCCGAGGGAAGCTCATGGCCAGCAAGTTGCTGGCATTTGGGGGGGCACAGCATGATGTAGGGGGGGCCATGGCCCCCTCTGGCCCCCCCCTAGTGACGCCACTGCTTGTATTAGGATCTTAGAAGTAGCAGATTGTTTTGAGAAATTTTCCTTCAATAATTCCAACATAAAAGATTGCGTACACGTGTGTACAAACCCATTTAACATCATAAAGAGTAAAACCATGTTCTTTACAAAACAATTAGAAATGGCAGACAACTTTGAAATAACAAAGCACACAAGATGATATGCATTATAGCCAGACGCAGTGTATAAGGAAGCACATATTTATTTAGATAGCAAACGGTTTTCCTTTTTTGGGCTTTCAGAATTGTACCTTCTAGTAACAGGTTTTGAAAGATCAGTACTCTTCAATCAGCAGCCTAATGTAATACTTGTTAGGCCACTTTAATATGAAAACTGTACTGAATACTTTATCACTGAATATGTCCTTTTAATTGGCCAATTAATGCAACATGTTTGGCTTAAAGCAGCAAAGACAAAAAGAAAAGATACTTTTATACACAACGTAAATGAAATTACACATAGAATCTTTATTCGTTTTACTTGTTGAGGCATCAGAACTAAAATGGCTAACTAGGACCAAACTAAAATCATTGCTATAAAGTTGGCTCCAGCGAGATTAGTCCACTAGTTTGCAGAGCTCAGTGATTAACAGGCCGTAGAGCAGGGCCACAGACACTGTTTGCAATGTATCTGCTGGGGCGGCTACTTGCCAAAATGAATGATAGTCATCACTGTACAGTAACCATGCAAAAGTTCATCCCTGTTATCACAACACTCCCTCAATGTAAAACTGGCGCCTACTACGCGATCACAACCGATCTCGCCATTTCCAAAGAAGCCAAAAAGAGGGATGCTTGGGAAGTGCTTACGGAACAAGTCGGCCTCCACATTGTCCTTGCCATAGTGCTGTTCTCCTCGGCCGTTACATGCAAACATGAGCCCTATGCTGTTTTCTTCAGGGATATTAGCGGCTTTTAGACGCTGGATAACAGAGTCTGCAGTGTCCACTTTGTTCACACTAATGTCTAAGAGGACTGAAGCTGCCTGGATCCGTGGGCCACTGAATGTCAAACCACAAGCACTAGTGTATGTTGAGCCTTTAGCCTTCCTGTAAGTAAAAGAGAATACTTCAAATCTAGTGGCCCCACAGAGTGTTACATTTACAGAGAAGCTATATACATATTTATCATGCATTATCATGTTTAACCTTTCTACAACAATTAACTGTAAAACTCTGCTTGCACTCCACACAGGCTCACGTAGCATAATGTTTGGGCCTTAATGAAAGCATCATACATACAACAATATTCATTTACTGACACAAAACATACCGGTATGGTGGCATCTGGTAAAGTGCATCTTTTTGTTTTGTGCCTGTCTGTTATATGCGGACAGATCTTGGCCTCATTAATATGCTTTATTTTGTACATGCTCAAGTTTATAGCATTTACGCAAATAAAATATGAAAATGCTTTGTAGAACACTGCACCACAAGCCTGACTCCATAGAAATGCCCCTTCAAATAAAGAATTCCTTATCAAAAGCGCTTGGCCATCGCCAGCTCTGAGTGATATGATCTACAAAAAAAACAGCATTAGAATGAGAGGATACCCAGGGAGTCATATAGTAAGAATAGAATTACATAATTTTTGCAGCTTCTCTGACTGTCTGCAGCCAGATTGTAAATTAAAAGTAGCTCACTCTGTTTTGTTAGGTGCTAAGTTGTGATAAGCAATAAAAGGGGTTAGGAGAAAGGCTTGTGGTGCAGATATTAAAACATTTGTGCAAAGACTATAAATATTTGAGCATACAAAAATCTATCAGTTGTGTTGGTCTTCAGTGATTCTCTTTAAGTTGCAGAATTTTTCAGGAAAAATCTACTTGCTTTGAACATGGGAGGCTCTGTTCCCTCTTCAGACAAGTGGGGGTTGTGACGAACGCACCCTACTTCGAAAGTGTGCATGACGTAGTTGTGGTGGTAAAAGGGTTAAAATTCACTATTTGTTTGCACGGAAATAATGACAAAATCCCCCTTTACACCACCCACACTTAAACATAATAATATAACTATTTTAACACTGCCACCACCAAGACAATTTATAAATGGGGTGCTTTGGTCCCCCAGGTAAATCAGTAATAAAAACCCAAATACAACTTATCACAATATTTAAGGAAATGCAGAAATACTAATTAGTCTCTTCAGGTAACGTGATTCTGTATCAGACAAAGGTAGAACTTAATAAAGCAATATTTATTATGAGCAAAAAAAAAAAAAATAGTCACCGTGCATATAAAAATATAGATGAAAATCAAAAGGGATAAAATAAAGTCCTAATCACTTACTCAGCTCTTTAAAGTAAATACTTCTGCCCCAGGGGGTCTCTGGTAGGAAAGATGGTGACTCACATAGAAATAGATTGTGTCCCCAAGCAAGTACAGAGGCATTTCAGGATCATTGGATATATACCCTGTGGATTACTACTCCTGGTCTAGAGGTGGCGTTAAAGGGACACTCCAGGCACCCAGACCACTTCTGCCCACTACCCTTAACTCTGCAAGTGTAATTAGTGCAGTTTTTATAAACTGCAATATTTACATTGCAGTATTAAGTCCTCCTCTAGTGGCTGTCTATCACACCTTACAGAGCCTTTGATTAATTCACAGGCTCCATCCATATTGGAAAACCCTTCCCAGAATCCTATGCAATTTCCATTACCTCTTCTGCCATCTGACCTCTGTGGGGGGGTCCCAGCTTCAAAGAAAATTAAGGCTATAAACCTTCCATACAATCAAATTACAGTTTTTAAACTTTTAATGCTAAACAAGAGACCACGGCAGTCCATCGCGTCTGTGCTGCTTTGGCTAATAAGGAAGGATTACCCTGAGCAGCAATGGGTAGCTGTGATTGGCTGAGAGTGTCAGCTGACTGCTTTTAACCTGTCAGAGCTCCAACTGACGGTATGAATGGGTATGACAACAAGGAAGTGTGTAATCTCTGCCTTAGCTACACATACAGAAGGGGCCGGACTGTGGGTGGCCAGGGACTCTTATTTTGTGGCATACTGCACAAACATGGTGCAACACTGAATGGAGGGACAGTGCCAGGGTACTCCAGGCACTATAACCAATTCAAAGAGACAAAGTGGTTATAGTGACTACAGTGTCCCTTTAAATAACAATAATCCATAGTGCAATAATGAGCTATGCACCCTTGCCGTGACAGGGGTTATCCAGATCTCCCCGGTATGCTATACAGGGAGTGCAGAATTATTAGGCAAGTTGTATTTTTGAGGATTAATTTTATTATTGAACAACAACCATGTTCTCAATGAACCCAAAAAACTCATTAATATCAAAGCTGAATATTTTTGGAAGTAGTTTTTAGTTTGTTTTTAGTTATAGCTATGTTAGGGGGATATCTGTGTGTGCAGGTGACTATTACTGTGCATAATTATTAGGCAACTTAACAAAAAACAAATATATACCCATTTCAATTATTTATTATTACCAGTGAAACCAATATAACATCTCAACATTCACAAATATACATTTCTGACATTCACAAAACAAAAACAAATCAGTGACCAATATAGCCACCTTTCTTTGCAAGGACACTCAAAAGCCTGCCATCCATGGATTCTGTCAGTGTTTTGATCTGTTCACCATCAACATTGCGTGCAGCAGCAACCACAGCCTCCCAGACACTGTTCAGAGAGGTGTACTGTTTTCCCTCCTTGTAAATCTCACATTTGATGATGGACCACAGGTTCTCAATGGGGTTCAGATCAGGTGAACAAGGAGGCCATGTCATTAGATTTTCTTCTTTTATACCCTTTCTTGCCAGCCATGCTGTGGAGTACTTGGACGCGTGTGATGGAGCATTGTCCTGCATGAAAATCATGTTTTTCTTGAAGGATGCAGACTTCTTCCTGTACCACTGCTTGAAGAAGGTGTCTTCCAGGAACTGGCAGTAGGACTGGGAGTTGAGCTTGACTCCATCCTCAACCCGAAAAGGCCCCACAAGCTCATCTTTGATGATACCAGCCCAAACCAGTACTCCACCTCCACCTTGCTGGCGTCTGAGTCGGACTGGAGCTCTCTGCCCTTTACCAATCCAGCCACGGGCCCATCCATCTGGCCCATCAAGACTCACTCTCATTTCATCAGTCCATAAAACCTTAGAAAAACCAGTCTTGAGATATTTCTTGGCCCAGTCTTGACGTTTCAGCTTGTGTGTCTTGTTCAGTGGTGGTCGTCTTTCAGCCTTTCTTACCTTGGCCATGTCTCTGAGTATTGCACACCTTGTGCTTTTGGGCACTCCAGTGATGTTGCAGCTCTGAAATATGGCCAAACTGGTGGCAAGTGGCATCGTGGCAGCTGCACGCTTGACTTTTCTCAGTTCATGGGCAGTTATTTTGCGCCTTGGTTTTTCCACACGCTTCTTGCGACCCTGTTGACTATTTTGAATGAAACGCTTGATTGTTCGATGATCACGCTTCAGAAGCTTTGCAATTTTAAGAGTGCTGCATCCCTCTGCAAGATATCTCACTATTTTTGACTTTTCTGAGCCTGTCAAGTCCTTCTTTTGACCCATTTTGCCAAAGGAAAGGAAGTTGCCTAATAATTATGCACACCTGATATAGGGTGTTGATGTCATTAGACCACACCCCTTCTCATTACAGAGATGCACATCACCTAATATGCTTAATTGGTAGTAGGCTTTCGAGCCTATACAGCTTGGAGTAAGACAACATGCATAAAGAGGATGATGTGGTCAAAATACTAATTTGCCTAATAATTCTGCACTCCCTGTACAGTACTTCGGACTTGTTTATTTTATAGGATCCCAATATTTTATACCAGATAGAACATTTACACCAGTCCAGGTTGTGCAAGTCTCCGCAAAGCTAAAGATGGCTGAAGAAAGGAGGTGTAAGAGACATCTATATCCTCTTGGGGACAAGAGGCAACAAGTAAGACAGTACCCCACATCTCCCTAGACAGAGTACTTGGGTTTACCTCCTGTTGCTCCTCAGAAGACTGCAAGTGATGAAGCGAATACCACTTTAATCGTAAACATATTACTCTTTGAGACCTGAGTCTTTAACAGGGATAGATTTCAGTACTCAGATGCCAGACTGGAAGACAAGCTGTGCATGCTTGTACACGACCTGGGGTTGGTGTGGCAGCTACTTCTTTTTGAGGCTATTCAAATAAAACAGCTTTATTTATTTTTTTAAATAAAATTGAAGTGTGTATGTTGCCTTATTCTGCTGTGTTAGTTATGGGTGCTGCAGTTGCTTTGTAGCATTAGATTTGTGTGTGAGTTGCTATTTTGTATCTGTTCATGAGTAGTTTGTGGTGTTGTGTATGATACCTATTATTATTATGGGTATTTATATAGCGCCAGCATATTCCATAGCGCTTTACAATATTATCAAAGGAGGAGATTTAACAATAAATGAGACCATTACAAAAACTTACAGGAATAATAGGTTGAAGAGGGCCCTGCTCAAAAGAGCTTACAGTCTATAGGAGGTGGGGCATAAAACAACAGGACAGGAGGTAGCAATCAAACAAGGTGGAGTGAAGCAGAGCTGGAGGAGAGAGTAGAGTGCTGCCCTTTAGGAGAGAGCAATGGACAGGTATGTGAGGTAGAGGTTAGTCTGGGAGGCCATAAGCTTCCCTGAAGAGATGGGTTTTGAAGCACTTTTTAAATGATTAAAGACTAGGGGAGAGCTTGATGGTCATAGGCAGGCTATTCCAAAGGAAAGGAGCCACCTGCGAGAAGTCCTGCAAGCGTGAGTTGGCCGTACGTGTGCGAATGAATACAGGTCATGGGCAGAGCGGAGAGACCGGGAAGGGACATACCTGCGGATCAGTGAAGAGATATAGTATGGGCTAGAATTGGTCAGTGCTTTATGGGTGTGGATCAGTACCTTGAATTGACTTCTATAGGATACAGGAAGCCCATGTAAGGACTGAGAGGGGAGAGGTGTGAGAGGAGCGACAGGAGAAGAAAATCAGTCTAGCTGCAGAATTCAAAATAGCAATAGAGGTACCAGCGCTAATATTGAAAGTGTACAGAATCACAAATTCGTGAGATGCAATTTACAAACAGCTGCTATATCACCATAAACTTATCTTGTAAAGTAGAAATAGTAAATCAAAGTGATGGTGAAGCGCTTATAACTAAATATCGATTTTCAGTGCAGAAAGTGATTATAGGTAAAACGGTATGTATTTATACCTTAAGCTTTTTATCCTATATTGGGGTCCTAGTGGTAAATATGTAGTTCAATTTTAAGAGCTAAACGGTTAAGCTCTGAGAGACCGATTGTGCATGCATGGCCGCTGGCGGGGGGAGACCTAATGCGCATGCCGTGCACGCTCATTAGACATCTCCATAAGAAAGCATTGAAAGTGCTTTCAATGCTTTCCTATGGGGATTTTAGCGACGTTGGAGGTCCTCACATAGCGTGAGAACGTCCAGCGACGCTATAGCACAGAAAACCTGTGCTATAAACCAGGAAGTGCCCTCTAGTGGCTGTCTAGTAGACAGCCACGAGAGGAGGAGTTAACCCTGCAATGTAAACATTGCAGTTTATGAAAACTGCAATATTTACAGTTGCAGGGTTAAGGGTAGTGGGAGCTGGCACCCAGACCACTCCAATGGGCAGAAGTGGTCTGGGTGCCTGGAGTTTCCCTTTAAGTGTTCGCTTGGGTGGATGCATTTCCTACGGACGACCACGAGGTGGCAGCCATCTTGTTCACATGAACACAGGCAACAGTGTTTGGTCGTCATGTTCATGGAACTAATTTTGGACACAAATTCCCAAACACCACTGGACTTCCATTATTGCCTGTGTTTGGTTCTACGACACTTAGAAAGACACTGTTCAGTGGAAATTTTCCCATGACCAAGGGAAACAAGCTCCAGGGTAAGAACATTGACTATTTTCTGTTTTTAAACTACCAAACTAGACCGACCACAAGCCCCGATTCTCTAGGACGGTTTTGGGCATGGGACCATGCATGCGGTCGGTCAAAAAAGGACTTCCAGGAAATTCCTGAACCAATCCGGGTGATTTTTTGATATGTTGGTCACATAGATTGGGGCTGTAACCTTTGTGGGGTTTTATGTATTTTAAGGTACTTTTGTGGTGTGAAAATGTGTTTTTTTTTGTGCCTTGAGATAATTGAGTTTAATACAGTGCTTGACTCAATTATCTCCCAGGCACCAGGGATGGATTATCTTGTTTTGTATGGGAGTGTCCTGGACCTGAGAGCCAATGTAATTGTGTGTATATTTTTACGGTCATCTACTCTCAGGTCCAGGAGGGAGTGCCCTTTGCATGGGGACCTGCATATTAAGCCAGTTGTGGCTGCAAATAAACGTATTCCAGCTTGTACTCCCAGAACTATGTGTCGTCTGATTACTGGGAGGGGAAAGGGCTATTCGGTAATCACTGTTCCAGTGTGGAGGATTTAACAGGAAAAGTCCTTGTAAGGACTAGAGCTCCCAGGACTGAGTGTTGTCCAGTGCCTGGGGGTGTCTAGAGCGAATTCCCCATTCGGCTCCAGGAGGGAGCGGTTCCAGGACCCCAGTCAAGCCACGGCGACTGTGGGCAGAAGTGCTGCGGTTTGTCCCCTGTTCCAGCTAGGAAGCGGTATTTGGTGGAGGTATCCAGCCAGGGGTACAGGGAGCTCCGTTACAAGGTATATCAGAGTGTCCATCAACAGAGAGGTCAACAAGAATTAGCATGGAGTAGTGCCCAATGAATGGGGGGCTGTTTGTGGAATTGTGTGTATATGTGGGGCTGTGTGTAGTAATCCATGTGAGAAGTATTCGAGCGGTGCTGGGTTTGTGGGGACTGTGTGTTTGCATGAGGGGGAGGCTTATTCTGCAGTTCTGTGCATATACCAACAATATCTTTACTGCCTGTTTTCTAGTATTGAAATTTACTTTGCCTTGGGCGGTATGATGCAAGATATCACTTTAAAGTCCCTAAGCTGAAGGATCATTGCTGGTATCAAAGTGACATCTTGCATCATACCACCCAAGGAAAAGTAGATTATAATACTCTGCAATGAGGAAAGTAAAATCCATAAGCTGAAGGATCCTTGCTGCAATTACTTTCCTCATTGCAGTGGAGGGAAAAAACAAAAACAAAAATAAAGATGACAACATTAAATAGACATACATTTGGGGAGAGAATGGTGCCAAGTACTCAACCTGCCCTCCTGCGATGATAATATTTTTCTCATTTAAAGGACCTAGTACTTGGGTAAGGAAGCGGCTGTCTCCTTGTCTCCATGTGTTGTATCCAAATATCAGGACCACTCTAAGATCAGGGTTATTTTTAAGCCCTACAAAATAAAAATAAAATAAAAGACAATTTAGAGCTTAATGCTGTACAGTGAGGTGGAGCACTTGTAGGGGGTTATATTTTTAAACCAAACTGTCATGTACTGAAAAGAATTGCAACGTTTGTATTAATATAACTTCTGAATAATTCTGAAACATTGCAAAATTCATAGTTATATTAGACTTGGGCACAGGAGATATTTTAGTCCAAAAACGAACTTCATACGAACGGGGAAAAAAAAAATTAGTTTCGTCCATTAACTCATTTGTGCATTATTTTAGTTTCGGATAAGAAATTCGGTCATTCTTTTGGTTCAGAATTTTATTCAGGGAAGGATATTCCCATCAGGTCCGCGGCTGAATCTTGTAGCTGTTTAGTAGATAGCCCCTAAATCCCACAAGAAAGCTATGTACTAAAAAGCCAAAAGCCCAAAATTAGTCTTTCAGCCAACGTCACTAATACTATGTAGCGAATACTTGGTAAATAAGGGAGGTAATAACCTCCCTTCTGCCCCTACTCGCAATGGCGCAAGTAGGGGCATGTAAAAAAAAAAAAAAAAAAGACCCTCCCAAATTCAATAAAGAAGAACCCCCACGGTGTGGCAAAAAAAAAATCGAAATAATTAACAAGCAGGGGACATACTATCCCCCTCCAGCCACCACACAAACAAACATATTGTTCCTCCCCAGCCCCACCCATTAGCGGCGAGTGGAGGCTAATAGTAAAAATAACCACCCACCAAGGGACTGGGGGTCCCTAAGCCTCTAGTCAACTCCTCTCCCCCAATAATAGTGGAGAGGGGGGGAGGGAGAGTCAATAAACTAAATATCTGTAAAATAAGCCATTAATACTTTCCATTAGATTTATTTTTCCCCCCCATCAATTTTTTGAGCTACAAAAAAAAAGGTCAAATGAAAATCCAGAAATCCCGACGAATTAATAAAAGTGCCGCAAAATCTAAAATAATAAAAAAAAAAATTCCAACTTTAAAAATGAATCCATCTTCACCCAGCGAGGGCTCTGCGCAGACTAAGCTCCCCAGGGCAGGGAAAGGCTTATAAAGCCTTCCTACGCCCTGCAATTTGGCTCAGAGCGCTTTGATTGGTTGACTTAAACCAACCAAGCAGAGTGCTAGGATAGGTCATTCTTAAGCCTTGCAGGTAACCAATCACATGATTTCACTGTCAGAGCACTCTGATTGGTTGGCTAACGAACACTGAAAGAATGAGACATTTGTGCTTTCATCCGAATACACTAATGGCTTAGTCATTTGGTTCAACTCCCATCAGATATGAGATTCATGCATTTGTACGAAGCGTTCGGCCCTTTAAATCACACTGTGCAGTACAAAAAGGTCGAACGTGAACTGCGAATGAATAAACGAATGGCACACAGAAGAATTATTTTGTTCAGTGTCCATTTGTTTGTTCGTTCAGCTCCCCATTCATTATTCAGACGAATGGATGAAAACACCAATTTTTGTCTGAAAATACATTCGTCAAAATACGAATGCCCAAGTCTACTATTTATGCCTAAATGTTGCAAATCTGTTTTTAATTCTCCAAAACGTAGTTTAACTAAAAAAAAAAAAAAAAAAAGTCCCTTAGATGAGTATAGGTTTAAACTTACCAGCTTCTTGTAGTTTACTTTCATCAAAACATCTCGATTTTGGGTCCTTTATGAAATGGAATGTCTGGACTTTCACTCCATTCATTTTAGGTATGATAAGCCCAAAACCAGCCTCCCCATGTTCCAGTTCTAGAGGACGATTACTACTTGATCCCATTGGCGTAGCTGCAAGGAGAGAACAAGCATATGTGCAAAAAGTTTGCTAAAACTTATCCTGTCGCATCACTGCAGTGTACACATGCACAACTTAATAAAATAAAAATGGTCTCACTAAATATGGCAGCCTATACAAATGTGTTGGTTCCGCCCCTTACAACCGACAGGATAGGAAAAGCACAGTCTTTAAAAGTAGGAACCAGTCCAAAGATCTCCAGTCCTTTTCCTATCCTACAGCAATTAGGATGGGGGACTTTTTGCTCCCTATTACTTGTGTATTTTATTTTAGATTACTTACTTTGTAGTTTGCTCATTATGGCTTCTCCTCCAAGAGCCTAAGTACCTTTTTCTGCATCTGGGTAAGTATGGATTCTCAGTACTAGTGTGATATTTATTTACACAATATTTTTCCTGAGATGGCTTCAATTTTTTTTTCTCAGAATGAAGAACTTATGCTTCCTCTCAAAAAAAAGGTATACACCATGTTCTGGTTGTGATGGGAAATAAATGGAAGGAAGGCAGTTATGCCATGACTATCTAAAGAAGGTAGCCACTTCAGCCTCTCCTAAGCCTACCCGGCCGTAAGCTATACCAGCCTGGATTAGAAGGGAGGTGCCCAAGATATTTAGAGGTCTAGGAGGTAAGAAAAAGAGCTGAGAAGAGACCCAGACAAAGACTGGATTCATCAGATTCAGATAGGATTGACTCACAAGGTAAATTTGATAATTGATCAGGTGGAGACCAGCAAGAGTAAAGCGCAAATGCTTTCAGAGGCTTTAGATTCCAAATCAGTTGATAAAGAGATTTTAATGGTGAGAAAAACGCTAGAGATCCCCAAGGACCTACCTAAGGGGGATAGATCAGACAAACACTTCGTAGACCTTAATAAGCAGAAGCTATCCTTTCCCCTGCACAAAGTTAAAGGGGAGGTTGTCCCTGTGGCAGACAGTTTCATGAAAAGAGAGGTAACTCCTGGCGTCTGGGTTATTGTACCGGGATTAAGAGCGGATAGTGGCCTGATCAGTACCGATCCCCGCAAGTACCGGAAGGCATTGTTGTGAATCGCCCATGACATTTCCTTGTCTGGGCACTTAGGGGTTAGCCGAACTAAGTCCCGACTCACCCATACATTTTTCTGGCCAGGGATCTCTAAAGACATTCGGCAGTATTGCCAAACATGCAATGTATGCCAAAGAGTAGGAAAGATCCCCACTTACCATCATAGAGGAGCCGTTCGGTCAGGTGGCTGTAGACTTGGTAGAACCCCTGGCCAAGTCTAGCTCCTCCAGCAAAAAGTATAGAATAAATGTGGCCCACTATGGGGGCCAGTTACCCAGAGGCAGTGACATTGACAAGCATCCATGCAGATGTGGATCTTTTCCTGAATGGGATGTTGCAGGGAAATAGTTTCGGATCACGGCACCCAGCTGATTCTGAGCTCTCCCTACCACCCACAAATGAATGGCCTATGTGAAAAGTTCAATGGGACATTAAAGCATGTTTTTCTGAGCATTCGTGACCACCAACCAAGACTGGGAGAGATTCTTACCACCAGAAACTCCCAAACAGTTACCGCCTTGGAAACCACCATACCGAATCCTGGAATCTGTTTGGTAAAATACGAGACAAGAAATCCAGGAGATGCTTCGCCTGGGTGTTATAGAGGCTTCAGACAGCGCTTGGGCTTCACCTGTAGTGCTTGTGCCAAAGCGGGATGCAACTACCCACTTCTGTGTAGACTACAGGTGGCTCAATGACAAGACCGTATTTGACGCCTACTCCAAACCCTGTATAGTTGACCTCCCCGACAGAATGGCTCGAGGCCACTACCTCAACACAATAGATTTGTTTAAGGGGTACTGGTAAATTCCCTTAGCCGAGAATGTCATACCTAAGTTAGCCTTTGTCATCCCGTTCGGCTTATACCAGTTCAAGGTCATGCCGTTCAAAATAAAAAAATGCCCTGGCCACATTTCAAAGGATGGTGGACCGGCTCCTAGATGGCCTCCAGGACTATGCCTATGCATATTGGGAGGACATTGCAATTTTCAGTAACACGTGGGAAGAGCATTTAGTCCACTTAGGGGCTGTATTAGACAGGATCATGGGAGCTGGCTTGACCCTCAGGTCCAGTAAGTGCCACATTGGGATGGCTCAGTTTCAGTACTTATGACACCAGGTAGGGTGTGGATAGGAGAGGCCTGAACCAGCCAAGATCGAAGCAGTAGCTCAGTGGCCAACTCCTCGAACCAAGGCCTCCCCCCAATTTGTTTATTTTAACGATTTATACACACTTATTTCTACAGATAGTAAACAGATTGCAGTATCTTCAGCATTTTGATGTGCCACACTTGTGAGGTGGATGGATTATCTCGGCAAAGGAGAAGTGCTCACTAACACAGATTTAGACAGACATGTGAACAATATTTGAGAGATATAGGCCTTTTGTGTACATAGAAAAAGTCTTCGATCTTTGAGTTCAGCTCATGAAAAATGGGGGCAAAAACAAAAGTGTTGCGTTTATAATTTTGTCCAGTGTAGTTTGTGCTTAGTCCTTGTGTGCGGCCAGTCAAAACTTTACCTTGGTGGCGACTGGACAATTCTTTATGAATCCAGGCGCTATTTTGCCAACTTGGGCGCTCGGACGATATGTAGGGTTCCTGTGTGCTTTTACTGTGTTTTATGTTAGGCACTCTGCATTTGGGAGATTATTAGTTTACCGGTCAGCAACTTAATTACCTCCTGGACACCGATGCGCCTGGGTGGGCACAGTGTGTATACAGTGGAGACACCATGCTGGAGGTCTGTGTATGAAAGACCAGGCCTGTGGAATAAAAATCAGCTGTACTCCCAGAACTATGTGTCGTCTAGTTACTGGGAAGAGAATTATAATAACTGACCAGTGCTTCTTCGAGCTTCGAGGAGAATTCAGTGGAGATACCTAGTCGTGGTATTTGAGCTCTGCTACAGTCCCCTTTGAATGGAAGAAACCAGAAAGACTGGTTCAATTCCAGGGTAAGTTGGCCTGACTTTACCCTTTAGAGGAAGATATTTCCAGACTCTGGAATACACATTACTATACCTCTAGACAGCTCGACCTCTCTATGTGAGCACACAAATTGGAAATCGGAAGTATATATTTTTTACAGCAGCCGTAGAAGGATGTTATTCAGCAGTAGCTTTCCCTGCAGTATCTAGAGCCATGAAAATCTTGATGCAGATGTGGAGAGTGATGTTAAAAGAGCCAATATTCAAGATGCAATTTGGGATCTTTGTGTGGCAACTGACTTCTTCACAAATGCCTCCCTACATATTGAGAATATGTTCTTGTACTATGGCTTTGTTGGTAGCAGCAAGGGGCGCTGACTCTTCTTCAGAGTATAATCTCTGCACCATTTCGTTTGAAGGATAGATGATGTTTGTAAAGATCTTTAAAAGGGTCCATCAAGAAAGCGGCTGAGGGCTGCAAGGTGTTTCTAGCCCGAGACAGGAGATCCAAAAAGCCTGGTCCTTTATGGTCAGACAGGAGAAACTTGAGACCGGTAGTTCCAGGATACATAGATTTATTGACCCTACAGAGAATACACCAAAGGCAGCTGTGGAAGGGTGGTCAACCTTCCTTTCCACATTCTAACCGACCTAAGAACCAGTCATTTTGCCCTTTAGTAAAGAACTTCTGCCGGTACGCCGAATGTAGGAGCGTGACCTTCTGTGTTCAAAGATATCAGGGTTCGTCATACATAGTCCAGATGGGTTACAGATTGGATTTTCTTAGAAGGCCGAGAGGCAATTTCTATCAACTCTGGTTGGCTAACGAGCACTGAAAGAATGAAACATTTGTGAATTCATCAGATATGATGGGAGTGAGCAGAAAGAACGAATGAGCCATTCGTGCATTCATATAAAGCGTTTGCCCATTTGAATTACAGATCATGCATTACAAAAAGGCCAAATGTGAATTGCAAATGAACGAACAATCAAAT